AAGCAATTCAGGAGCATTCAGAAGTGCTTCGCTGGATTCAGAAGAAATTCAGATGAAAACGAAGCAATTCAGGAGCATTCAGGAGTGCTGCAATATTTTGATGAAAATTCAGAAAAAAGAAGCAAAACTGTCCGATGATGAATTGCTTTTTAGAAGCAAAGGCATTTCCACTCGGGTAGATTTCAAATTGAGAAGAAAACAACATAAAAAATCCCAACACAAAGAAATGCAGTAAAACAAAACCGATGAGTCAATTTTGTGGATAGTAGAATAACTATAGTCTACAAAGTGCAATCAACCGTCGAAGGACATCATTCATTACTGCTTGTAAATCAGTATCATATCGTCCATTAAATTTTAAATACCATATTGGACAACGTCAATTGCTTGCAATTTTAACTAATTGATTGTCTGCAGCTTTATGATAACTACTAAATTGCTTTAGTAATTGCACTTCTTTTTCCAACCATTTTTACATTTTCTTGCAGTGCTTGTCATAAGACATTTTCCAATACCTTTTGGTCTTTTGAAAGCCGTCAGAGAATACTAGCCAAAAGTGTTTTTCACATCGAGCTATAGATATTAAAAAGTAATTTTTTCAAAAACATTCTACCAATCAAATTTCAGCATTTTTCTTATTGATTCAGACTTCTGGCTATCATTTGTCTTTCTTGATATTGATTGTGACTGTCTTCAAAACCAGTCGTCGAAACGAGTCCTGGAGTGTGCTAAATTATAACTGAGAGAAAAATAATTTGTGTGCCCATTTATACTAAATATGGAATATTTTAAGGAATTGACAAATCATTTAGTTGTGATTGATATTTTCAAGAAGGATTCTAGTCCAAACGTAAAAAGATATGCTCGAAATAGTGTATTGATGGCAATTTTCGCCAGTTTTTTCGTAACAACAACTTGGTTTCTGTTCGAATCAACTAAACGTTGGAAAGCACATATTTCATAACTGGTTCATTGCTAATTTTTTTGTGGTATTCATTGATACTCTGGAAAAGAAACGAATATCTTGCACTAATCAACGAATTTAAATCCAATTCCATTATCGCAGAAAGTATGTGTGTGAAGTTCGAATTTAAGTAGAAACAAATTATGGTTTTTGTTTCATTTTCCTCAATCATTAGGACTGATAGATCCAGCAGTTGCTCAAATTTATCAAAATACACAGAATAAAATCGGGTGTTTACAAAGAAATTGATTTTTATAATTCGAACAACATCAATTCTATACTGTCTGTTACCAGTTATAACTTCTATTTCTAGATACATTTGGACAGAATATTTGAATAAGTCCTTTCGGCAATTATTCCCGGCGCGGTAAGCTTTTAGTATATTCATTTTCATTATCGCTCAATCTGCGAAAATTCCGTATCTATTAGATATCCTTTCGATTGGAAAACACCATGTGGATACCCAAGTTGCATTCTCATCCAAGTGATTACATCTTTTGCATCAACAGAGACATATATGTCAGCTATAATGTTAACTATTGAATTTTGCCTAATGATTTCGAATTTGGTATTCGATATTGAGGAACAATTACGCATACTAAATGCAGACCTAATTTCCAGCAAGCTGACCGAAAGAAAATGAGTCGAGTTGAAGAAGAAATTGTGTGAGACCCTTCAATTTCATGTAAAAGCGAGGGAGTTGAGTATTATTCAATAGTATCGGGTTGATAATGGAAACGATCCTTCTATGACATAGACCCGAGTTTCAAATTTTTTTCGATTTTCGAGGTTTACTGCATATATTTTGTTCGATTTTTTTCATTTTTGATATAAACCGAGCCTAAACGATGCCTTGACTAAAACGCGAATCTACTGAAAATCAATTGATAGATAGGGGAAACTTACAAATTCCTTCGCGATTTTCTTTCAGATTCGCACGTTGCTTTTCAGATATCAACTCCGGTGTGGCTTTTGTTTGTCCTATGTATACAATAGCGGTATTTGGAAGTCTTGTCTTGCAAAGCAATGCTGTTAGTGGACTTTATTTCGATTTATATCTACCGTGTATTAATATTATGAATATTTTAACAGTTAATCAAATCCAGTCACATTGGCGAGATGTTGAAAATTTTGGATTTGATTGCCTTTGCTTTGTTGCCGTTCTTTTTATTCTGTCATTTTGGTGGAAATTTAACGACGCGATTCAAAGATGTGGGCCAAGCTGCTTATCAAATGGAATGGTATAAGTTTCCATTGGACGTACAAAAAAACTGTCTTTTAATGATTTTGGCGTCTCAGAAGAGAATTTATATGCGCGGATATAGTAATATTCGCACCACTCATTCTGTTTTTAGAAGGGTATGGAACATAAAAATCAGAATGAAACTGCGTAGTTTGAAAGCACTTGGATATACCATTTATCTTGATAATTTGGATTTTTTTAGGTATTGAAAAACAAATACTATTACTTCGTGGCGGTGAGCCAATTGTAATTGATGAATACAGTGGAAAATGTTTGGATATGACATATTGACAAATGGTCTATGTTATTTTACATTTCATGAAATTTCAGTACCCAATGATTATTTTTCCTTGAATAAATAGTTAATTGACAAAGATTTATTAACAACATTTCAGTATAAAATCGATAATGCGGATAGATCGAAAGGAACGATAAATAGAAAAATGTATTTCATACTTATCTCTCTCTCTATCATAATTTTCGGCTCATAGGCAAGAGCAACCAACCCGATAATAAACTCCATTGACTGAGCAATGCGAGCCATATTACGAAGTGTGATGATAAATAAAATCATAATAATAAGAATAGTTTTTATTGAAAATCCGGTATTTCGAAATAATTTTTTATTTAGTTTTCCCAAATGAAAAGAGGCTATTTTTTTAACAATCATGGAATATAAGAAGATGTGAAAAGATATACATGTGATAGCGTCTTATAGATACGATCATTATTTGTTTTAAAAACATTGCGAATGAACTACATTTGACAAATGCAATTGTCTTACATAAATAATTATTGGTTTCGCTGTGGTTGATTATGTTCAGCTTCCCTGACGTCTGCTTGCAGACGATCTTCCAGATTGCGACGTGTATCAGCATCGCTGATACTTTGAATACGGCTAGACAAATACGCTATAAAGGGATCATCAAACCCTGGTGTATTTGTTCGATTTGTAAATTCGGACAAAGGATGTTCATGCGTTGTTGTATTTGTGCTTAACGTCCTTTCATTTCTGGCTGACGCATTGCTCGTACTCGGCCGTGGGTTATCGCAATTGGAAGGCATTTCTGGGTCGGTCAAATCTATGGATGATGACTTAATACAAAATGAAAAAGCAAATAATTTTAGATAAATTAGCAAAATTTATTTCATAAAAATGAAAAAAAAATCCAACTCACCTCTTCCATAAATTTGAATAATGCTTCTCCGCCACACATTGCTGTAATGGCTACAACAAACATTTTATTGAGTTTGTTTTTCGGAATCGTTGAAATAATTTTCCTTGGAGCTTTTTGTTTATAAGCGGTGGTTGTACTTGAAAGATCGTCGCCATGCTCAACATTAATCTCTTCTGGTTTACCCAATCCTTTGCCAGCATATCTATGTATTTGTCTTTGTGTCACAACACCCAAAGAAACCGATAATTGTTTTATAACACTATAGAAATCTTTGATGATTTGATGCACGGCAAAGGAATCACGAACGATGTCGGAGATTTCGTGTTGTTGTAAGTAGTTTTCATAACAAATTTGTAACGATGATTCAGAGTCAAAATGATCTTTCAATTCCCAATGATGACAATAAAAACATATTTTATATCCGATGGAAATGTTGTGATTTATTGCCAAGTGCGTTAACATTGACGCATACGGACCAAATAGCTGACAATAAGGACACTGCACGTTTTTACCATCCAATTTAGAGTTGTTTATATATTCGTAATACGCAAAAGATTTATACGATTTAAATCCGAGTAGCTCTTGGAGCATTTTCGGTAAATTAGTAGAACGTATCCGAGTATATAAATTCTTTCGTTCGAGTTCATAATCCACTATGCTCATAAATTTTAATGCTATTTCGTCGTTTTTTTCATCATCACTCAGTTTGTCTAGCACAACAGAAATCGGACGAGATGACAAGTATTCCTTCAATCGTTTGATATTCATTTTTATCACTTAAATGGCAACTTTTCAAATTCAAATGCACTTTCAAACACAAGTTTATCAATTACAATGCACTTCTGTTCAGAACCAAGTGTTAAACACAAATAAGATCGAATGTGAATTTCAACTCAAATATAGGTTGTATTATATGAACGTGTCAATATGATCTGCTGAATAAACCGGACTCACACGTACGCGATTGTGGCAAACAAAAACAAACTGCAATTTAACATAACAAGTATTCTTTCCTCAACGTACAATATGACAATGTTCCCTTCCCTGGTAAAATCTCAATTTCGCTGATCCGAAACTTTTATTTGAAACTAATGCGTTCGGGACGTGACAAATTACCATGAAAACATAAGTACACGAAATCCCAAACAGTTCAACGTATATCAAAATACACGTTACTGAACTGTTCGACGCAGTTCTCCTTGCCAATTACGTGCAATGTGGAGAATTCAATGAGTTTCTTGGAATAGTCGTAAATGCAAAGAAGTTTACACAAAAATGAGCAGTCTATGTTTGCGTACATTTCAATTGAACAACAAATTAAAAAGATGCACATTCTCGGTTGGTCGTAGCTTTGGCGAAGAAGTTGACGGCATAATGAGGTCACATGAGCTGAAAGATTTAACATAAAAACCGACAAGTATTACAATAAAAAAAAACGGTTGCGCAGTTTTTAACTCAATACAAAACAATCAAATATGTAAGAATTTTTTTTTCGCATAAATGAGGTTCGTATATCTTCGTTACATCACAGCGCCATTCATAATGTACAAATCTTATGAAGATCTAGATGGCACTGTTGATGTTTTAAAGAAAAATTGCAAAATGACAAATACAATATAACACTTGTCAATCATAATTATGTTTTGCTAAAGATTTATAAAATAGAAAAAATGTCCATTTAAGTGAGACAAAACAAGATAGTACCAAATTCAAAATTTACAATTTATCCAATTGAAGCCATCAAGCATCATAAAAAAGCGGTTTAAGTTTTGGCACGAATTTGACGAAAATTATTTAAAATTTAATAATGTATATTTAAATCATGAATCGAATTCAGTTTTCATTTTGCACTATATACTTTGTCTCTTTCTTTCCTTATCACGACAATGTAAGTATACGAGAACGTAACACTATCAATTTTCCATTACAAAATTAAACCTATAATGCTTACCGTTGCCATTCATAATCTTCTGCAGAAATTCGACCATTCTTTTCACTAAGAATACTCTTGCGTTCAACTGTTTCGTCAGTCGTTCCATGCCTAAACGGACTGTTTCCTCTCCCTGAGAGAAAACAAAAAAGAAAGACAGACCGATTTATGCGATTTTAATGCGTAAAATGTGCGTCATGAACTAGCATTAGTGGACAGAATGGAATTTGCTCGCCTTAGTCCGAACATTCCCGCGTTTTGCGATACGGAAATATTTCTCGTCACAGACATAGGCAATCCAAAGTGAAAGATAACATATCCAAATATACTCAACCAATTGGTGATGTTTTTACAATGGTTGCTTTTTTGTTGTTGTTGTTTTTTAAAAGAATAAGCCATACGGTGGTCGTTATTCACAAGCTCAACTGCAACGAGTGGCGATAAAAATAAAGCAAAATTGCATTCTTTTTAATATTTCAAGTTGCCATGAAACATACTTCTCTTTTAGTCAAACAAAATCGACCGACAACATATTTTCTTTTTATTATTTCAAACTTAAAAAAAACTGACGTCCTTCTACGTCTCACGATTAGACATAGAACTGAATAGTAATGGGCTGATGCAAAAATTTTGGAAATACATGACATTTTTCATACAAAATACAGTTTTTTACTGAATCAAATATATTTCAGAACGATCTGAAATTATATGCAGTGTCTGAGGAGCTTCATGAATTGTGACACATACATTCAATAATAATAAGTTTATCTGCAGAGAAATATAGTTTATTTATGTCGACGTACTTCATAAAGTATTGAAAAAATGAAAATATCCTCTGAATAACTATGTAATTTTTTTCTCAATAGTTTGACTCCAAATGTCCGAAAGAAAAACAGACTGTTTCTGATCACTACTTCATTTGTTTTGTTGTAAAAACGAGAATTGAATTCAATTCCCTAAAATAATCATTTGCTTGCTGCGGTTTCTATTCACTTATCCCCTTGACGTATTTTATTATTTCAGTTTCCACAATGCGACGCATGTCAGTATCATCAATGTCTTCGATAAGTTCAAACAAATGTTGTAAAAATGGATCTGGTGAGCCTTTTGTAACGACCGCTTCAAATGTTTTATTTAGTTTTTCTTTTGAGGTTCTTGATATAGCCTTGGATATGAATATTGAAGCACACGGACCAAATAGCATACAATGTGAGCATCGCAGATTTTTAGCGTCAAATGTCGAATTTTTCGAACAGTCGTAATTTACAAAGGATCTATAAGATTCAAAACCGAGCATTTCTCACAGCAGTTCCGGTGAAGGGCGAATTTGAGGATATAAGCCGTACCGTTCGAGTTCATAATCGACCATTCGCATAAATTGTAATGTTGTTTCGTCGTTTTTTTTCATTATCACTCAGTCTCGATATCACATTCGAAACTGTACGTTAATCAGAATGAACAATGAACACACCGTACATGTACGTGATGATATCAAGAAAAAGCTGTAAATAAATGTGCACTCTTCCAATCGAATAAGGAAACGATAGTAGTATTTCATAGTTTACAAAGTGTTTCTTTTTGTTCCGGAAAGAATTACTCATATTAGTATAGCATACAGTATAGTAATTTATACACAGTTTAGTAGTCATGTGTTGCTTCAAATGAAATATTGAAGTGGTTTGTCACAAGTAGATAAATTTATATTATATTTATTTTATTAAAGATATTCATAATTAAATTCAAACAATTGACGTGTTCTTTATTATTGTCATAAAATAAGAAATGACGAATTCAATCGATACTATTTTTTTCATTCATAGGGCAAGAAAACATTCCAATTCATTAAATAAAATCAATCGCTGAATCAAACATTTCATCACAATAATTTCTAATGAAACCATTTCTAAATTGTATGAAACACACTCACTATACACGTTCGTACGTGTTTTCTCATCACAAAATGCAATGAATTGCCTTAGCTCCAACATAGCTGTTTCAAAATTTCAATAGCAAGATCAACATATTAAATGAAATATTCTCCAATTGTCTGATGAATTTTTACTGTGAAACGATATTGAGATCTTCATCTCACCAAAAAGTTTCAAGCTATTTCTTATAAAATTGTATTAAATTTTGCTGAACCAGCTCCTAATTACAATTTCATCACATTTCTTATTCGTAACAATAAGATGAAGATGAAAATTTGTAATATTATTTTATTTTAAATAAAATTGATAGAACCAAGGCATTTTAATCTCAAATTTTTCTTCGATTGTATGGATTGGCATGAATAAAAGCAGTTACAATGTGACTCAAAAAATAGAATCGATTTATCTTTGGTGAGATCGTTTCAGTGTGTACATTAAACATATGGAATAACTCACTGTTACTGCGAAGAGAACTAAAAAAAAAATTCAAAATGAAGCAAAACTCACGTAAACTATGTGACACATAGTTATGAGAACGATATAAAAAAAATAAATGCTTAAAGGTTCTACATAGTATGTGTGATTATTAAGTTGAAGAGATCGTTTAGTGATTTAATTTCTTTCTTCGATAAATTTGTACATGCAATACACGCGTGCACAAAAACTACGCCATGCAGTATAGCTACGTTTGCATAAATGATATAAATTGTATAAGTATGGCAGCTTTACTGCATTCTGTACTTGCCTTATAAATGAATTTTCAAAGACTCAATCGACAGTCTCATTCTGAAGAACGAGTGTGGCGGAACATATTAGGAAGCTTGTGAATTACGATCAAATCCAAAATATAGTGAAATAGTAATATTAATAACAGTTTCTGCGCGTATTTTTTGCATTTGAAAATACAATTGGTGAAAAATGGCCGAAGAAAATAATTATTTGGAACAACTAAAAATAATCCAAGCCATTAATGCCGATGAGTGGGTTAAAACGGGAAGTGGAAGTCTCAAATTAACGGGCGAGGATGTGGTGGCCAAATTCAACATGAACGTGACGCATGACGAGCAGCATCGCTTTTTCTTTGATTCCATTTTTACCAATCGGAAATTCAATTTTAACAATGATTCTTTGGCAGTTCTTTGATTGGAGAACAAGAAACATGAAGAACAATTGATTGGAGAAGAACTCGAAGTAACTGAGTTCGAAATAAAATTGATGCGAATGTCAATAGATGAAAGTGTGATCCAATTGCGGAAAAAATTTTACGCAATGAAGTACTTATTCATCAAGTATGAATTATACGAATTGAAATTCGACATGCAGACGAAATTGTCTTCAAAGATTCCTCCGATTCTGAAGGATAAAAGACTACTAAAGTGTTTCGGCCTATATCGAATTCCCGGAAACAAATGGTACATAATTTGTAGACAACTTCGCTCATATAATGAAGGGGAGAATGATCTCCCTGAAGGTTCCGTGAGAATCAGAAGATGGATAGATGTTTCACACTCAATCGATCTTGGTAATAAACTTGAGGAACGGCTTAAGGAGTTGAAATGGGATGTTTCTTGGAAGTACTCAACCATCACCAACAATGGAGGACACAGCAATGTGGAACTCATCAAAGTAATAAACGAAATTAACAATGCGGATATTTCTGAACTTTTAAGCAGCCTATCTTCGATCCAAGGCCAGAACCAGAACGATATTTCTTCGGAACTTGAAACTTCAGCCATAGATGATGGAGCTGATATTTTCCCAAATGATCTTTTAATTAATGCCTTGAAATCGATATTTGTCTTTTTCTTTAAATTAAACGAATAAAAATGCAATTAATAAAAAAAAAATATATACACTTTATCCTTTTAATTAAATAAGAAAATGATAGTTGCATTTGCAATTCCGAACCGGATCGAGAACCCAAGAATATGCCAGAAAAATCAATATGCATTTAGTAAATTCAATCACGCCATTCCTCAAATCACACAATTGAAAGTGTAGTTCAACATAGCTAAAATATAAAAGTTTCTCTAGCCAAATAAATGTGATTGATACGACTCAAAATCGGTTGCCAAAATAAGGAGACACAATAGGTTGAACGAGAAAATACATCATCTTGTTCTCTTTCTACAATTTTCAAATCAAAAGAACTGTGTCGACGTGTTTATTCCGGCTACTTTAATGACGTCATCGGCATTTGTCTATTTATAAAATAATCATATGCAAGCTAAAGATTATATGCAAGTAATTTAACAATCTCAAATCGTATATATACATTGAATTATTGGCATGGCACGAAACTGAATAAAAAGTACATGTAATGATACATACGGCTATGATTTCATATTGCGTAATCATTGAAATAGAAAAAAAATGTAAAAGGCGATAAGATTTTTTTTCCATAATGTTTCTGTCGAATGTTTGCTTCATCAAAAGCGAACCATGATTCGTTGCTCAATCATTTGAGTTCATAGAATTTTGTATGGCGATACTGCTGATATAAATGGTATGTGGTTGTCACAAACAACTGAGTCATTGGTCGAATTTAACAAATGCTGTGAAATTGTGAGAGTATAAAAGCCATAGTATACTTTAGTGGAGAGTCAGTGCAAATCAAGAAGGCGAAGTAACAAGACGCTCACTATGGCAAACCAACTATTAAAAACACAAAACAAAAAGCATAGAATTAAATACACAAAGTGTTGAAATCTCAAATAAACTGCAAATTGAATAATAAAATTATTCGGAATAAAGCTGAAAAAATGTTGCTGTAAAAACATATTCCAAAGCAGATATTTGTTTAGAGTTTGGAGTTAACAAAATTGTTGCTCCGAAAGCAAACAATAGCAGTTGAATATAGACGAAAATATTTCAAATCGATCGCCAGTTTTGAGCAACGTCTGACAATTGAATGGAGTTTTGGACGACGAAATCATTTCAACGTGAATATGGAACAGCCAAACTGCCAACAGACTGTCCAAAGATGATCACATCGAGCCCGGATATTTCTTCAAAGCAATTCAATGGAGAAGTCGAATCGATCTACTGTCATGTTGAATGTCTCATCATCAATACTTGAGAACAGCAGAAGTAAATCTATTAAAAATTGTCCTGAACTTTAATTTTTTCACATTTTTTTCTCAATCATTTAAAATAAGGTTATTATTGTACTTAAACGAAATAGTTCCAAATGATTTCACGAATTATAGCGAGAGTGATGACGAATCACATGTTTTTCATAGTAAATTTTGTGCTTAGATTTAAAGTATTGTGCAATTTACAAGGAAAGTGCTAAAAGTTCACATGAATTCATTCACGTGGGGATCGAATCGATTGCTAACGATTCGGTCATAGGGAACAGCGGTGGGAGTGAATGTCAATTTCAAGCATAAAAAAGTTGCTAGTTCAGCGAACACAAATTTTATGAGCACCTGAGCCGGAGCGCAATATCGTTGAGCAATTTAATATTCTGGTTTTTATAACGCTGTGAAAGCGAGAAGTTTTTATTCCAGAAAAATGTAAAAAAAATATAAAAATTCAAAAAAATCCATTGCTCCGATTTAAAGTCGCATGTGAATTAACGTCCGCCAATTCTTTCGTCTGATTTGAATGCATTCGGTTTTGCTTTCAGCGTTACCAAACCGGATGATACATCTGTTGAACACCCGTTTTTATTCACTTACCGTGAATGCGTATAGATTCGGATTTGACAGAGAGTTATCTCCAGTTTCGATGATGTTATGTGCAAAACTGAACATTCAATCCGAAATGAGTTCGCGTTGATTATTGCGTGAACAAGCTCGACTCGAAATGGAAAGATCTATGCATGAGCCGAATGGTTTCTTCTCTTCATAATTTTCACATTTGAATTGAAGAGGTGTTTGCATTGGTGATGTCGTTTTATTTTCAATTATGCGAAAATAGAAATTATTTTCGAGCAATTTTATTGCACCTCGTATAAGGGACTACCAACCTTTAAAACTGGTAGAAAACCTTTGATGTACTGCAAAGTACTTCAATCAGAATTTGTATGAATGGAATTGTAATAAACATATCTGAAACAGATAAAGTGCGAGAGGAGGCTGGAAGGCTATTCTCTTTCTATCTTTATTCATTTCTCTCACTACATTCCATCATAGAGAGAGAAAATATACACTCACTTAAGATCGAGGGTACATAAGTTATGTTACTTGCATTTCAGTTCATACAAATTCAAGTGGTGATCGATTTCGATCATCGGTGTGTGGGAGTAGAAGGAGTAAGAGTGGGAGAAGGAGATGCGGCATTCGTGAAGCGAGTTGAGGCTTCTGAATTTAAAGTGAACACATCAATCGAATTGAAATTTTGTATTCACACAAATAGTGAGATCTCATTGTTTAAACCCTTAAACTCGGTACAGTCGTTGTTAGATGCAACACTATACATGGTTGATGGGTCTTAAGCAATGAGATTCAATCTTTGTTGAATATTGATTTTAATTTTGTTGTTCGTTTTTACGGCGAATTCAGTTGATTATACACTTGCCCCAGGTTTCGAGTCACTTCGTAGCGAACGAGATCTAAATTCCATCAAAATAAATCAAATGTGTGTTTTTCAATCAGTTAAATCGGATTTTGCTGTTTTCATTTGTGGACACTGCCTTTTACCATCAATCCAGTTGTGAGCCTCTTGAGCCTCGACTGAGATCCATTTTCTGATTGAACCACACATATGATTCCGAATGTCGCATTGTTAAAAAAATTCGAATTTCAAACATGAAACAATTTTCAAATTAAATTTTCAATTTAAAAGAATGTAATATTAAAAAAATCCCTCTCATTTTTTTCCCAACCTTTTTTTTGTTAGAAAAAAAAAGGGTTGCCTTGACAAAATATGCACCAATGTTTTAAAATACCGCCATTTGGTTATGTGAAACTAACATAGAATCAACTAGAGGGTTTGATTCATTGCCGTTTCAGTTGCATCGGACGAGGATCTTTCAATCATTTTGAGTACTGTTTAGCACTCATTGACACTGCATGAATTCACAAAACGGCTCAGCTGTATGCCACTCTGGAGATGTGTAATTGTTTACCATCGAAGGAGTTATGTTCGTATGCAATATTTTGAACGAGTCGTCTCGCGTCGTGTCCGTGACCATTCGACAGTTTGCAAGCAAAATATTGTTGAACAGTGACCGCAGAAAAGAGAAGCTATGCTGCTCTTTCGGCCCATTGAATCGCGTGCAGCCCATTGCTCCGCATGGTAAATGGTATGACCGATCGAAGCGTGCGTCACTCTTTTGTCTTTTTTTATAGCTTGACTTGTGACTTTAGCACGGGAGTAGCGGCGATTGTCTCAAAATAGCGATCCAATGCTTATAGAAGTATAATATTGTATGATTGCCATTTTGTAGATAAACCGCATCGGGAATTCATCTCGACTCTCAGAAATATTTTTTTAAATTTGTTCAGAATTGTCACAATTTATATGCGATTCAATCACAAATGTAATTAACGCTTTAATAGGCGAAAGGAAAAATGAATAAAGTATAAAAGAAAAAGTAATATGTGTTTGCGTGTATTCATTTCAGAACATCGAAGCACATCTGTGTGCATAATAGTATGGGCAAGTGATGTCAATCACAATTCGAATATAAGTGCAATAAAATCAAAGCATCATTGTACAATGTGGTTTTCAGTATTGCTGTTCAATAATAATCTTCATTAGTTTCTGAGCTTCATACTTCATTTATTATTGAACGCTATCTCAAAAACTCCACTCGTTTTTCTCAAGTTTTTTTTTTGTCAGAAAAAACATGTCGCTGTGTCAAAATGTTTTGTAATACATTTGATAGTGTGAAACCAACGTCGAATCAAGTTGTGGCTTTGAATTTGTTCCATTTCATTTGCATTGGACGATCAGGTATACATTTTCAGTGCGATGACACTCAATTTTTATTGAAAAGTTATGACGTAATTAATGCATAAAGAAAGTAAAGAACAAAGAAGAAATGTTATGATTTTCATCTATATTTTATTTCAATACTTAAATTTTTTTGAAATGGCTTCTGTTGGATTACTTCTTTTAGGGTAAGTTTTATCCTGAACCACTACTTTTTAATTCGTTGTGAAAAAATGTACCCGATATTTATTCTATAATTTAGTCGCTTGTATCTTCTTTTTCATTTGCCATACATATTGTATTACATGAAATTGCAAATTACGACGTGTTTCAATATCCTCAATGTCTTGGAATAGTTCACGCAAATACTGCAAAAAAGGATCTGGTTTATTAAATCTAGGTGTATTAGCTCCATGATTTGTGAATAATTCGCTAGGGGGTAAGAACACAAGCGCTTGAGACGAATTCGTACGAATATTCGTGAATTCTTGTAGATTCTGTATACGAGACATTAGCAGCGCAGTGAGTGTACAACAACAATAACAAAGTCACGAACGCATGAATATATATGAATACATACGAATGACACAACTTGTTCCTAGCCCCTAGATAATTCGTGCATTGGTGGAGCTGAGCTCGTGGGTTGCCTCGTTTTATTCGCTATGGACACATTAACTGCACCCAGCTGTAAATGATCGAAATTTACCCCATAGACTGTTGTGACTACGGATGAGGGCCCTTCGTGCATTGGTGGAGCTGAGCACGTGTTATGCTCCGTATTAGTTGCTGTGGATGTACTACCAGTACTACGCTGTGCTTCCCGTTTCAAATACCATTCATCTTCTGAGTCTATCAATACACCGTTTCCCATCTTCCCATCAAAAAATTAAAAATTATAGAAGGTAAAAACAAATCACATCGAAAAATGATTTTGAATAAATTCAGTGTATAGAATTGAAAACTATTTATTTCTAACTCACCGTCTTTCAGCATCGTCTAATATGATCAACGGACATATCATAATTTTCGTTAAGTTTTTCTTTCGGGATCGTTGAAATAATGGGGTTTTTTGGTGCTTTTTTCTTAGAAGCTAAGAAACCTTTGACCTTGTAACCGGTGAATGTACTTTCATAGTGGATACCTAGTTCTACTGGCTCACCATCGTATTCGTGTATTCGTCTCTCTTCATGCACACCCAAAGATTTTGATAATCCTTTCATAATATGATAGAAACCTTTGATCATTTTTTTGCACTTTTAGTTCGTACATTTCCCTGTAGGAGAAATCATATCGTCGTAAATAGTTTTCATAACACATTTGTAATGACAGTTCATTTTCGAAGTGAACTTTTAATTCTACATTACGGCAAAAAAAAAAAAAACTTGTATCCTTCCGAAGTGCCGTGATTTATTGCCATATGAGTTAATATTATCTCATACGGACCAAATAAATCACAATGCTCACATTTCAAATTCTTGTTTTTTAGACGTGGATCTCTTACGTATTCATAATACGTAAAGGATGTGTAGGACTTGAATGCGAGCAGCCGTTGCAAGAATTCCGGTTGTATTTGACGAAAAACAGCATATTTCTAACTTCAGTATAGACTACGAACATAAATTTTAATGTCGTTTCGTCGTTTTGTTCATCATCACTAAAACTCTCTAGCACAATCAAAGTTGGACGGAATTCCAAATATTTTTTCAGTTGTTTAGTATTTTTAATATTCACCGGTCCAATTTCAAACATTTTTCCTTTCAATTTGTATGTTCGAAAAATTTGGTAAATACTTTTCAAACTCTAATTACAACTTAAAAATCAATTGTGCTTTCAAAGGCAAGTCAATCAATTACAACGGATTCCTTTTCAGATCCAAGCGTTGAGCGAAGGTGCGATGTAATCTAAAGTTTAACTAAAATATAAATCAAGGGCATAGGAGCGTGTCAGTATGAGTATGATATATATAATCATAAATAATATCGAAAATGTGCGCTGATACTGTATTACATGTACAGTGTTCGTGAGAAAATACTCGATTGGAGTAATCCGATAACTCTGTAAATGGATCAAGTGCTTGAATCTATTTACTTAACTATGATAAGGACATCAATTTAATGATTGAAATCTATATCTGCTTATCAGTGGCACTAGCACAGCGCAAGTTTCAATTCAATTAATAAACTCTTCTTTCCAATTTGGATTGGAGGAAGTTTCGAAATGCACTATTGAAGTGTTAAATATTTCCGTGATAAGATTTGGTTCAGTCGAAACAAAGATAACAAAATCACACACAGATGCATCTATCATATTTTGAATCATGATTTTAAAATATTTATTGATATTTATTAGCAGCTATTGTCTTGGAGCGGAGCCTAAAGGAAAATAATTGTTTTTATTTCGTATAGCAATTAGTTTTATTCAATTCATATGTTCTGGTATGCATTACAATATCAAAAAGTTACAAGTATAAAAAGTACAAATATGGCAAATAAAAGTGTCAACCAATACAAAATTAAAGTTTATTTTTCTTCTCCACGATGCGCACTTTTTCACTCTTATGATTTTCTCATCTCTTCATCTTTGTCTTTCGATTCATTCCGTAGGAAAAGCGAATAAAAGCTATGACAAAATCTGTATCTAGCACTTGAATCTACCTGAAAGTGAGTTGTTTGCTTAAGTCTATAAGCAAAAAAGGAAAATCATTTGGCCAATTGGAAAAAAAAATTCCGAAAAATAGATGATTTCTTTTGGCAGAAATTCATCGAAATGTCATAAGTACTTCAATATAGTGAGGCGCAAAGGCCTCATTTGATAATTTTGATAGAGGAAATTCTTAATTTTACTAAAGGAAAAAAAAAACCGTGTCAAAAGTGAACACATATTTTGATTTTGGAACTGCAATGTGTTGAATTCAAATCGAAAACAGTATAGACCAAAACGAAAGCAATGCAAACACACAGAATCAAAAGAAAAATAAAAGAATTGAATAAATTATAATCGTTAATTTAATGTTATGTTGTTGATGCATTTTTAGTAATATCACACAAACTTAATTTACAATTTGTTTCCATCATTAAGTAGTATATAGAATACATAAATGGCTCAATCAATAAATAGGACATTTCATTGGAATTGCTATAGATTGCGAAATGTGAGTAGTTTGGAATCAAGTAATGACTAATGCTTGTCTCTCCTTCTTCCACTGTGAACTGTATTCTGTTGTATGCATAGTTTCTGTGTAATTTAAATCGGTTTTGAAAGTTCTAAATGAGTCATTGAATATGAAAATATTTGTGGTTTTCTTCTTTTCATTGAGCAAATCCAATTTGTTTACTTGAAAAAATAGGGGAAAACTAAAAAAAAAAATTCAAGTTTTTAATAAATAAATAACAAAAGCAACTTAATGCACCAATTTCAAAATAAAGAAAAAAAAATTAAAAACTAAAACATAAAAAAATGCAGGTGCATTCCACAAGGGAAAAAAATGATGAAATCATCTTCTCTTTGGGAATTTAACACGATTGGTGTGAAAATATTGAGTAATTGCGAATAATACAATTCTTACAGTATACAATTTTTACGTTAATTCTTGTTTCTTATCAAGTATGCGAATAATTAAGATTAGTTTTGTTTTTGTTTTAATTTGTATCGATTAAATGTGAATGTACGTTTTGTTATTTTGTGCGCTGTTTTTTTCTTTCTTCTTCTGCCATGTTTTCTTTTGCTATGTGCTTGAAAAGGAACAACAAGTAGTACAATTGCCGATTTTTGACTATTTAAAATGTGAATAAAAGCTGATTGGTTGGTTTCAATTATGGCAACGCATTCATTGAGACAATTTCATTTTTGTTTTCCATTGTAATCTCTCAATTTTGACTCAATTCTATTTCGATCGGCCAATGCTGCTTATTCATTCCACTCATCTGCATCGACACCTTCCATATTATCTTGTTCCAATGACGTTGTGTACTCCATACGTGCGCTTACTGACTTTTGAATCTGAAATGAATGACATGGAAAATTGAATTTCATTATTCAATTTAGAAAAAATTGGAATTGAAAACGATAAGAAGAATGAAAGAGAATTTAAAACGAGTAGAGTTGTCAAAAATTGGATGAATAGGCAAAAAAAATCCCCTTGAAACCTCAAAAAAATACCAATGTTTACCTCTTCTTGTTTGTATTTGTCATTGTCGGTGTTGATTTGTCGATTGTATGATTGCAAAATGTTCGAGGGTGGCGAGTGCTGATCAGTCTTTTTGTTTGGAGTTAGTGGCGGTTGTTGGGTTACTGGCAGTGTTGATGATACTGTGCAAAGAAAGAAAGTTATGATTAATTAATCAAAGGTATATTCCTAGCAATGGCATCGAAACTTACAGCATTCCATGCCCTCTGGTTGCAAGCTAATTTTCTTGACCTTTTTGTCGCGACAATTGAACCAATCAGCTGGTGACAATGTTGGGATCCATGTGACTCTTGTCGGTGGGAACAAATCATCTTGGAACAGTTCGTTCTATTTGAAAGGACAGAATTTCGGTTAATCACATCAAACACTCCAAATTAGTTCTAATGAGTTCATTTCATGCACAGCTATATTCAAATTGTTTTCATGTTTCAAGGCATTTTGGGTAAACTTACTTTAATGCGAGGAACAGTAAAACTTAGAGGTTCAATAGTATTGTTTGTCAAACGGAACGCCTTGGCGAACTCAACGGCCGATACGTCGCAGTGGTTTTTCGTCAAAAAACTTAATCCCTGGTGTGATGTTGCACAACGATGATGTGACAATGGGCAAATATGCGGTGCCTCATCGGTTATTTCGAATGCGTAAATCGTTGAATCACCCTGCAAATGGAAATCCAATTAAAAATCACGTAACAATTTACTTGGAATTGTTGTTTTCTATCAATTTGTATATTTTTAGCATATAATTGGTTTCAAACCTTTCCAGTCAACAATAGTGTTGAGCTGTCTTCATCGTAGAATGGGATTAGAATGGCTGGCGACACATCCAAACCGACGGTGTTGATTGGTGCTGACAAATCTGTTGCTTTGTAAATGCTGATTTGACGCTCCGAAACCCTACAAAATTTAATGTATTTTTGGTTAATATTCAAGTGCGACATTTTTCTCTTTCATAATGGTAAAATTTAGGTAAATATGGGTAATTTCAAACTCTGGAATCCAAAAATATGTTTAAAAAAGATTTCGAATCAATTATTTCCCATTAAAATCCAAAAATGAAAACAACTTACTTATCAAAACCAGTGCAAACAATATAGTGTCCATCGATGGCCCAAGTGATGCGTGCTCCACGAGTTCCAATTGGTCCGGGTCCTTCACGAATTGGATTCTCCGATTTGCGTGGATTAAAAATGCGAATTTTTCCATCCTTGCACACGGTGGCAGCAAACACACCGCAAGGGCTCCAGGCACAATCGAATATTTGATCTGTGTGTCCTTTCAAGCACAATTCTTCCGAGAATGTTGCCAAGTTCCAAATTTTGATGGTCATATCATAGCTGGCCGTTAGCAGAACATCCTTTGCCAACGGATGGAAACGAATAAAGTAAATTTTATCCGAATGTGCCACCAATTCGCCTTCAGGTTGATTTGTCGGCTCAGTAAGACCATTGTCGGGCACTTTCCACAAACGAACCACACCGTCATCGCAAGCTACCGCCAATTTATTGGCATCGAATGGATCCCATTGGAAATCCATGATACTATTGCCATTGACCAAAGATGGAATGACACCGTCGGGCAATCGGCCCGGTTTGTTCAATTCGTAAACGGCAATCTTTCCACCCGGACCCGATAATGGCACAGCAACTCGCTTGTAATTCGCATGGAATCCATTGCATTCGCCGGGTATTTGACGACTGATGTTCCGAATATTTTCAATGTGCGTTGATTTGTGCGTTGGCGTTCCCTTCAAATGACGGAACTTTGATACTTTACCGAAAACAGTTGATGTGCGCTTTGTAGCCGTCGTAATTTCAGCCGGTTTAGTCTTGTTGTTGGCCCCGTGATTTCCATTGTTCACTGGATTTGGCTTGCGGAATATTGCATCAGTTTTATCCTCATGTTTACCATTACTTTCATTGATTGGAATTGGCGATGTCTTTCGGCGCTCTTCAATCTCGATCTGCGCTTTATTTGGTGATGCACTGCGAGTTTTTGTTGAATCTTTGCGCCTGTTTGAATGGAAAGAAATTTTAGGTTCGATCAAAATAAAAGCATCAACTAAAAATCGAATTAAAATTCACTTACAGTACTGGCAATGGCGACTGTGGCGGTTTGTCCTCCGCATTGTTGGTACTGACTGAACGTGCTTCGTACAAGCGACGACGTTCTGCAATGCTGCTTCGGTTCAATGTCAATCGTCTCAATTCCTCGGCATCTGTGCTATCATGGCTTGCAATTTCCGATTCTGAACGAGCATTCTCGAAAATCTATTGGAATTTAAAACAAATCGATTAGTATTTCTATCTCCAAATTCGTTGAGCACAGCAAACAAATTCAAATGAAAATTATTTAAATAAAAAGGAATTGAATGAAATTTCAATCGAAAATTATTTTAACAAAACAATAATTTTTAAAACAAATTTAGTGAAAATTTAATGAAGAATCAAGAAAAAATCATTTCAAAATCCACCACAAAGTAAAACAAATGCATAAAAAAAGACACCAACTAACATTTGGTTACGGAAGTTTAAATTTGAATTTAAGTTCAAGTTCAAACAAAAAAAAATAAATTATTGATGAAGGTAACAGTATTTCTAAGCTTTCAGTGAAAATCAATATATTCCGAGGAAAACAAAGCACACAAAAAGCGAAATTCGTTCAAGACCGAAGTATATATACTCATAAATTTTGAATAATATAGACTGACAAGTTAAAAACGCAAAGAAAAAAGGAAAAGAAGCAGAAAATTGGAGGATTAGTTTGTTATGCATGTATGACCTTTTTTGAACTAGCGGCTTCTGACAACTGTGAATACATAGAATGTTGTGACAAATGCTATTAGTTAGGGTGTGGTTAGTGATTTGAATGTAAGACGATCGAGATAAAAGTCGGTTAATTACAAACCTTTCGTCTTTCAGCTGTCGAAATGGCGCGCTGCAAATCTTCCTCCAAACTATCACTTTTGTGCATTGAATGGCCGTTGCTTCCGTTGCGATATACAATAGCATCTGTGAAAGTAAAAAGAGTGTAATCAATGCAATTAATCGTATAATACGATTCGTATCAAAGTAATTTTCATTGATCAATTGAATTCATTACTCAATTTCAATTTAATCAAATAAAAATCTCTGCAAAATCCCAAAAATGACCCACTTTTTTCTTCTTCTGTACCTTCTTTTTCATCGGAATCTTTTTGTTCATCGATCGAATTGTCCGATGATTCTGTGGATTTGTTTTGATTATCTGTGGTGGATATGGCTTCATTGTGATTGCTTGACGTTGAATTGCGTTCGCTGCCAGGTGCCTGTGGTACCGAGAACACTTTATCAAAGTTCACATCACCCGATCCAACGCTGAACGGCTTTGGGCCCAATCGTGGCTGAAATCGGAAATGACCATCATTAGAAAAAGTCAATTAAACATAGAAGCACTAGAGTAAACTCGATGGCCAACGTGCATGTGATAGAGATAATAAAAATCAACGACACTCGAAAAAAGCACGGATTTTTTTTTTTAAATTACGTGAGTTAGGTGATTTGTTTTATTTTTGTTTTGTTCATATAAAATATGGTGCCAATGAAAGATGCCAACGCAAAATAGAAATGAATAATATAAAAAGTGTATCTAGATAGAAAGAAAAAGGACAAAATACGCAGAAAATGAACCCAAATCCAATAAAAATCAAAAACAACAACAACAACAACAGAAAAATCGACAAAAAACAAGAACAACAACAAAAGAAACGAACACGTGTCAACAAAAACCAAATGCACAGAGTTTAACGAAAGAAAAAAAAACAGAAACGAGTGGTGCAAAACAAGTGTGTAAAAGAAATGTCTGAGAAGTGCTGAACCTTGTAGCTAGTGGTGGTGGTTGTGCGTGGTTTGGCGATCGGGCGAACGTTGCTTTCCTCAATGGGATTCGATGAAATTGAGACGCTGTGCTCGGACGACAGTGACGATACCGAATTATTGCGACTAGTTCGTGGTAACGGTTTCGGTGGAACGATGTCATTGCCATTCGCATTTGCATTGCTGCCGCATGTAATGTTTCCATTTTTGTAATTGTTATTTGCAACGCTTGTTGATTCGGCGTCACGTGCTGATTCCACATCGCTGATTTCTTCATTGTTTGAATTTTGGATGTTTTCATCGTTTTCAACTTCATCCGGAATGACATTGGTCTTTTGACTTTCCTCGTGAAAGCTTGCACGTTGTTGCTGTTTGTTATCGATTGACTCTGACTGCTTGTATTTGCTGTCGAATTTCTTGATGAGATCCATCTTTGATAATGGTTTCCCCGCATCATTATCATAATCATCCGGCTGTTGTACTTCACTGTATTTATTTAGTGGTCGATTTGAAATCGAAGTCGCATGACGATTATCAACATTATCGTTACTTTGCTGACGATTTACTGAAGACGCCGATGCTGTGAGCGTTGACGGAGGTTTGATTTCGATTTGTTTTGCACATTTATTTGCATCATTCTTAATCATTTCGTGCAAAGTACCACGATGAACCTTATTCACGCAAGTAAATTTTTGCACATTTTTTTTTTGGTTTGATTTTGGTTTCGTTTTACAAACATTGAAAATGATTGATAGGATGAAAAATGAAATAATGGATCAGTTAGACTTTGAAAATATATATATGCAATGTCAACGGAAATGAAAAATTAAAAAAAAAAACGCTTACAGAAAATAAAATTGACTGAATGGATGGAATGAGTTGAGAGTGTGGAGAAAATGAAAGTTGGAACAAAAATGAAAAACATTTCATGAGTTTCGTTAATTGACTTACAATAATTGGAGCGTCGCCAAGTTCACGCTTAGCTGGATCTAAGCTCATTTTTGACACGGGCGTATTGACACCTTTCAACCATTGCGTAACCGTCAAGTCGGTTTTGTAACCGTTCGTTTCTGGATATAAATCACTGTGGAAATCACGGTATGTCTTGCGTGGCACTTGATACATTATCGGTATGACTGAGTTCGATGTTAATTGCATGATACGATTTACTTCACCTTCCATCACGCGAAGAGCACGTTTCGGCACCAAGCACGCACCTTTTGTTTGTTCACCTGATTGGAGGAAAAGAGTAGGGAAAATGTTGGTGAGGAAATCAATGTGATAGGAAAAAAATTCGTTTAGTATACGATCGCAAGTTCTTTAACTCAACGGTGGTGCATACCATTGTGTCTGAGTCCTTCAATCAGATATGGGTCTTTGTCTGTGACTTCCATGTATGCGATTGTTGTGTCGCCTTTGCCAGCTAAAAATAGCATATTTGTATCTGGGTCATAGAGCGGCATTAAAACACCTGTAGAACAGTCCAATTCCAATGTTTTCTCCGGCGTGTTGAAGTTTCGCAAATCACGGATTATAATTTGACGCAAACGAGCTGAATCGAAGCCGGTTGTTAGAATGCGCGATTGATCGCCGAGCCACACAACGCGAGAATCTTTGATACTCTGATGACTATCGGCAGCCAGTGTAATCGGAACATTTGATCTTGGATCGATGATGCGCACCATTTTATCCTTACCTGATTGGGGGAAAAGAGTAGGGAAAATGTTGGTAAGGAATTCAATTTGATAGGAAACAAAAATTTGTTTAGTATCCTTACAGCTGGTGGTCATCAGCGTTCCATCGAGCTTCCAGTTCAGCGACTGAATCACATCCGGATGCTCATTGCTGCCGAACACCTCTTTCTGTGACGTTAAGTCCCAAAGATTTATATTGCCCGCTGCAGTTGAATGCAGCAAATAATCGGCCGTCGGATGGAATCCAACGGTTTCAACGCGTCGTTGCTTATGTGTAAACTGACACTCTGGCGTGGTCAACGATTGCTCCAATCCTTTTTCGGGAATGTGCCAAATTTTTACCTGAAATGAATGAGGAAAACGTTGTTTGATGAACTGATGTTTGAAAATCAGCACAAAACTACTTATACCAACTAACTTGCTTTTAAGCAAGAAAATGAAACTCAAGCACGAAATGTCGATTTTTCGAAACAAATTTTAAACAAATCGATTCATGTTCGCCAAAGACTATTTCTTACATTGTCTCTAATTAGACCATTAGCCTAATGTAGAATTATCATAGTAATTATCCATCTTCCGTCGAATTATTCTAATTCAATTTAGAAATCAGCCTTGTACACTTACCAGGCAATCTTGTGATCCAGTTGCAAGTAATCCGTCGTGAAATGGCGAAAAATGCAAATCGGTAACCGTGTCTGTGTGTCCGTGTAATAATGGCATATTTTTGCTTTTACGGCCGCAATCATCGAGTGGCAATACCGCTAAACTTGACCCAGCATGTTCCCAATTGAATGCCATAAAAGCGGCTGATGCAGCAATATTATTGCCATACGTTTGATACGAGCCGACACTATAAAAGAAACCACATACACGAGCCATTAAATAATAATATACGGAAATCTAATCTAGCGTGCGCAAATATTTAACAATCAATTTGATTTAATATTTTTCAATTCAATTTTTGGATGAGAAAAAAAAAATCTGTTGATCATTTTCACACTTACACAATGTCACGAATGCAAACTTCTGGCTTTGGAACGATGGGGGCAGCATTTTTGTATTTGGATGCCTTGAAACGCCACGCCATTTTTGATCTCTATCTCTCTAACTCTCTCTCTGTCACTGGATTCTCGGTCGTGTGTGTGCTCACAAGAGAATCACACCGCAAATATTGATAGTAGGCAGTGAGTGAATGAGTTCAAATCAAATGGGAATTGTGTCACCGGGCGAAAATCGATACCTGTAAACGAACGAAGAGAAGGAGAAATGAAATTAGCAAAAATGAAATGGAATAAACACACAAATGGAAATGATATAAAAATAAAGTGAGGCACATCGATGCGAAGCATCGAAATGCTACTCATTAATGCAATCAATCGTTTCCATGATTGGAATACCAAACTAAAGTTATGTGCGTATCGAGTGCCCAATAAACGCAATCAAATGCGACCAGTTGGGCGCGCGACTCAGTGTTCACGCTCATTTGTGGCACAATTTCTGCCCGATATAAACAACAGACAGCATGATGGAAAATTCCGTATTGAGCGCAATCTCGTACAATGCTAAACACCCAGTATTCTTATTCGATTCAATTCAAATGATGGCAATATAAAACGATGTGTTCATTTATTAAGTGACTGTGTGTCGGTCAATTTATGCGGTGTTTGTTCTAATGGCAATAGCTAGCGCTTGTTCTGACACACACAGAGAGAGAGAGCGGCGAATGTGCTTGTGGCTACGGAGAAGAAACCGACGAAGACGATGAAAACAAGGGTAAGACAATAGCATAAAATAGCAAAGTGAACGTATCGCTCTTTCAATTTCAACTTGTTTGCGCATCGGAATCGATTTCAGCTTTAGAAGCGACAATGAATCTATTTGTCAGCGGCAGCAGCAGCGGCGCCGGCAGCTGCACAAGAAGAAGAATATAAATTGATTGTGCACGACGAGTAAAAGGTATAAAATTCTTATTTACGAATCGAATTAGACCGCGCTTTAGCTTTCAAAGCAAAACTAGCTCCACAAACAGAAACGAGGTACGAACTGATTTTGATGGCGAGGAATTGCTTGTGCTACATCACAACTATGCTCAAAATCAAACCTTGCCGTCGAATCAAGTGTGCACAAAAAATCGGGCGTTAGAACACTCTCCGGGAGAACGTTCGTTGCATCGTGTTTTTCTACTTTCGTTTCAGTGAATGCAACGGTGCATTTTGATCGGTTGCACTTTTCATTCGCAGTTAGGCTGACTGAGCATGGAATGAGGTGCGCGCCTCGTATTTGACGCTATTTTTATCAGTCGCGCGCACGTTTTTCATATACACTTGGTTCACATTCACTTCTGTTTAGCGTGTGTGTGTGTGCATTTCTGATTCGAATTGTAAATGGCATGAGGCTGTAGCTTTTGCTGCAGCCGTCGCTGCTACTGCTGCTGTTGCTGCTGCTAGGTGCAGAGATGTTTGCGCGAGCTATTATTTCGTGTACTTTGCGCGCACAAAAAAGAAACAGTTTTTGTTTTTGCTCTTTTATTTTCTTTCTCTCTTTCAGTGAGTTGGACTATGATAGAATTTGTAATTTTCGAGCGAGAGATAATTACCAGTTTTCTATTTTGGTGCCGTTTTTAAATGTAACACCGTGCCTTTTCACGCTTGACTGGAACGAATGAACCGTCAACGCTACCGTCGACCGGGCCCCAAATCGTCGAAATTATATACATTTTCTATTTTAGAAATAAAAACAAAAACTCAACGTGCCAAAGAGCAAACAACCAAAAACCAACAGAAAAGAAAGCAAACGAAATATCTATAATTTCTTGGAGCTGCTGCCGGCCTGCCTGCTGCTGCTACTGCTACTCTACTTTGACCGTAAATGGCGAAGACGCGTAAAAACAACAAATCACGTTTGTCAACGAAAATAAGTGATAAAAACAACGTGGAAACATTCATCATCAGATGAAAGACATCGAACATCGTTCAAATCGTCCGTTAGTTTACGGGCCATTCTCAATAAAATTATTGCAATCAATTCATTCGATGCGAATTTTGTTCAAAAACCAAAGTATTAAGTCGTAAACATGTGATTTGACGCTAGGTGATGTCAATGGCCAATTGAGATTTCGATAGACTGAATAAATTGGGGTTTAATGTTCAATAAATGGAACCGATGACGTGATTTTTTCCTATAAGCCGATCATTTGTTTTTGTCTCTTTGCTGATTTTTTATGGTCTGCAGCTGAAAAACTCACGTAATTCGTTAGGTTTTTACTCAAGAGCGAAGCAAAGAAAGCAGTTTCAACTTCACGCAGTTATAAACGATAATTCAATAATTGTTTCGGTGTTGTGACATCGTTCCAACACTTTTTTTTTCGTGTGACTTGGCTCAGTTCAGCCGTCGCAGCAACAACAACGGCAGCAGCAGGTCAATGGCCAGCGTTGATATTTCTTTTTTGTGTGTGCGCGCGCGGTTTTGCGAAATCGCACTGTCAGATGAACTGAGCATTGCTGCTGCTACTGCCGCTGTGTCCCAGTATGTTTTCGACATTTTTTTTCGTTGTTGCAGCTAAAATAAGCAGCCAGGCAGCAGCATCAATTGTGTCTGTTTTGCAAATGGAATATATCATGAGAACAACGAAGAAAAGTTCATCTATAAAGCATAAATGACGACAACGACGACGATGATGACGCCGGAGCTGACAAGCAGTTAGCATCGTTTCGTTTATTATTATGGTTTTCATTTCAATATATAGAGAACTGTGCCAAATTCATTTCGTTCCTTTTTGTATCGCGCGCAAAGCATTTGGACGAGCACACAGCCATGGCTGTTGGGAATTTTCAGTTCTGTGTGGATGTTGACGCAAAACTCGTCTCTGCTGCGAAAGTATGTTTGTGGTCCAAAGCGTTGAGAGAGCAAGCAAACGAAAAAAATGAGTATAACATGACAACTGGCAACTGTCTGGTATATATCGACATCGTGAGCGCTCTCGTCGTATTCTTGCCATAAATTTAATAAGCGCGCGCGCCTCAAGTGCTCGCCTCACACTCGCGCAAACTTCACTTCTACTCATTCAGTCGCTCTTGGGCTGTACAAAAACAGAAATCAGAATCAGAGCACATGCTCATCGTGTAATAAAAGTAATAACGTTTATCGGTTGAAATGGAATGATTAAGCCCCGGCCGCGGATTCAATGAAATCGAACACAGAAAATTGAATTAGAAATTTATCTGGAACGAATGAATTGAGAGTTATTCATGTTTGGTTTTTCTCTTTTTTTTGCGAAGGTAGAATAACGAAACCACAAAATAGAAGGAGCGCGAATAATGCGAAATGAATTGAAAGCAAGAAGTGAAAAAAAAACAGATTGAAAAGGAGAAATGAAATATGTATCGAAATAATCGATTCGAATGAATCATTACCATGAAAATACTCTCGAATATTTTCTCTCATCATAATTTTTCTGGTAAAAGCGAAACAAAAACAAAAATTAAACCAGCAACGATGAAAAACACACAATGAATTCACATGAAATCTGTGCATTGGAGTTTGTATTTTATCTTTTGGTCAATACATTGCTCTGGCTGGCTGACTGGCTGGCTGGTTGGTTTGGCGAGAGAGATGAAACACTTAACTTGCAGAAAAATACATGAATATGTAATCATTCATCGATTTAAAAAAAAGAGCGCAGAAAAAACGAAACAGAAACAAAAATGCACACAGAGTGCATCGTATTTTTATCATCATTTCCATCCGTTCTTATAGTGTCGCTCGTATATCATGCGGTAAACATACTTATTGTTGATTATTATTGTTTCCACTTCACAAAGAAAACATGGCACACTGTCATACGACGACGACAACAACGATAAAAACAGCCGCACACAATCTTTCACTCGCTTGCTGTTGGTAATTTTTTTTTATTCTTCTTCTTCGGCTCTTCTATATCGCCGAGTGTGACTCTCTCGTTGCATAAGATTAAATTGCAGTCGAAAATGTGTGCAGTCTATTGGAGCGCATAAATTCGTCAAAAATAAAATGGAAAAAAAGAGCAAGCCTAAAACAACGAAAACAACAAAAACCGTGCCGAGAGAGTTGAGCACAGAGAGAGAGGGAGTGAGAGCGAACCACAGCCGAAAAATTTTCCATAAAGTTATGCGGCTTTTGTTGTTTGGCTCTCTGCTTGTGTATGGTATTCAATTTCGATAGCGCGCAATCGATATACACGCAGAGAGTCTTGCATGACTTGTTCTGGTCATACACATTGGCACTGCGAGAAGTGCACAACAAAAAGCCTGCATTTTATTCGTGCAGTACTTGAATGTTGGTTTCACTGCAAGAAACACTCGCACGACCACATCGAACAGCGGCAGCGCGACATTCGACACACAACCACAATGACACAGCCAAACGGGGGAAATATGTGTGTGATATGACAAAAAGGAATATAGCATATAAAGCATTTTTGGTGCGCTGTGTGTGATGTCAGTAGGCTCTCCTGTCACGTAGGCCGTACCGTACCACTTTGTTGCATTTTATGCCGTCATTCGCGACGATACAATACAATATATCGGGTTCGTCGACGGCGGCGGCGGCAGTGTTTATGAAGTCATCATCATCATCGTCAGGAGAATATACAGAGAGATTTAGTGTGAAGAGGAAGAGAAACCCGATACATACAATGCAAACAGTGGCAGAGCGAAAAAAGCACACATAGGAAAGAAAAGTCGATTGCATTGTAATTTTTATGATGTTATCGAAGTCCAGTCAGTAACATATTATATATGCCACACAAAGCACATTCACACACACAGAACGTCAGCCGGGTCTCGGTTCTCCCTTGTTGATTTTGCGAAAATGCACACACATCGATTTCTTCTTCTTCTTCGACGAATCATTTGTATTCGATTTCGATTAATCTGATAACATTCAATTTATGGGCTGGAACGTCTTTGATTTTCGTCGTACCACTCAATTTAAATCACCATCTAAATTTGTATATCCCATCACGACCTATTGTTGTTTGCGAACACACAATGGCACAAGGGAATAAAAAGAGTAAGACATTGCCACTAAATTCAATGATTTCGTCAATTTCATCAATGCAACGAATTTTTTGATTGCTTTTATACGGTTGACTAAATGAAGACCTACGTGTGGTTAAATTGAAGACAGAAATATATGTGCTAATTCACTTCATTTCAAGGCCAATTTCAATCATGTTCGCTAAATAAATGCGCGATATCAACAACAACAACAAAAAAAAACCGTCGTTCAGATATGAAATTTAAAATAGAAACAAAATGACGAATTGAAATTTCCGCGTAGAGTTAGATTGATGTGAGTGACTAATAAAAAGTGATGCCATCGGCAATATAGTAATCAACATTCATTGACGTTGCTGTTGTTGCCACTCTGCTGCACCAATCACGATTATCATTTTTTTTATGTGTATTCTCACACGCAGCAGCAAGACGATTCCGTCGAGTATTTGTAGTCGATTTCACATTTGAACATGTTCAGACTAATCATTCTGTACATAATCATCGATATTAAAGTTCATAACGATGTTTTGATACAGCTCGTGAATGAGCAACACTGAGTGCGCGTTCGCTCACTGTGATTGCAATGTCAGCGACTAACCAGTTGGATGCCAATGTAAATATGTGTTTTTTTTGCATTAAATTCTGTTCTTTCTCTCGCTACCGCCCTCCCTCTCTCTATCTCTTTCATCGGATCAATCGTAACGTGTTTGCATATTTGCTGAAAACTTACCTTGTCTGTTGCGATTCTGGTATATATTCCTCTGTATAGCAAACACAATTATGATGACATGGACAAAAGCACAATATACAAATATTCTCTTCTTCGATATAAAATCACATAAAAAAAAATTTACACTTTATAAAATTATACACAAAATGTCAATGTTTAGTTCTGTTTTGGGTTCACATGTGAATCACGTCAATCACTCGATTTTGAGCATAGAAATTCTTTGTTCTCTATCTCTTATCGGTTTCTTCTGCACATTGATTTCGTAGCTATTCTAGAATGGAGGAACATACAAAAAAAATCACCATTAATGTTTCAATCTAAATTATGCGAACATGCTTTATCACAAAAGAATTTTGTTCAGATTAGTTTTTTTTCTCTCGTCATTCGCTCTGAATGCTGTTGTAAACGGTTGAATATTTAGATAGAGCGAGGTCTATCTCGAATTTCAAGTGATTGTTACAAGCGGCAACTATGCATAAAAATAACACCCTAAACACTGGTTGTTGTTATCGTGTGCTGTGCTGTTCTGTGCTGTATTGTTTTGATGTTGTGTTGTTTTATTCACGGATGCGACGACGTTCAGGCAACTTAAACCAACCGAATCGAAATGAGAAAAAACTCTAAATACGTACACGGTCGCCGTCGTTGTCGTTGAACACGATTAGCGTTGGATTTATTCGCGGCCAATAGTTTTCAGTGGAAAATTAAACGGCAATTTCTGGTTGTCATATTGTACAACAAAGAATGAAGAACAGAAATAACTGGCAACAATATGATTTGCGTAAATAAATTTCGATTTTTTTTCTATTTGGCGAACACACCCTCTCCGATTCAGTGTGTTCCCTTTTGTGTTCTTGCTTTTGCTCTCTCTATATCACTCACTCACTCACCAACACACAAACACTCAAACAGTCATACGGTTTTTGGTGTGCGTGCGAACAAACGCAAAGAATTCGCCTTTGGTGCCGGAATACGTAACAAACAAAGACCAAGGGGAGCAATATGACGACGACGACGGTGACGGCGACGACGAAGAGTATGTGAAATGGAAATATTGTACCGAAAAAAAAGGTTTATTTTTTCAGTTTGTGCAATTCGGAATTTTTCCGTTCAAAAACCAAACAAAAGACCGACCGATTGAATCGAAGAAGGATGTCTCTGGTAAGATCGGTTTACGGTATGCAAGAAAATGCTATAAAATTTTGAAGAGCACACACATAATATTTGATGGCTGATGGTTTTTGATATGTTGGCCCGTGACTGGTATTGACTCTATGTGTGTTACGTGCGTGTATGAGTGGTGTGATCACATCTAATGTTGCTTCGAAATTTGGCTCTCTTTGCGCATTGAGCATCCGCCGCTACTTTTACTGCTCCAGCCAGCCAGCCACAGCAGCAGCACCACTTTTGAGTGCAATGAATAGAGGCACTCCGACGGCAAAAAGGAGAAGAGAGAGAAGAAGAAAAAAATCAACACCGAGGAGAAAAAGAAGAAGAATCACCAACAAAACAATAGCACTATCCAAACGCACGTACTAAATTTCCGACATTGATAAAATGTTCGTCTCTTTACATTTTCTGCAAGCAAGCTGTTTCGTTTAATGGCATTGCTTTTGTTACGATTCAATTGGGTTTTTTAAAAGTCTTCATGCATTGTTCAACGAAAGAAAGAAAAAATATTCCATGCTGTCGTTTGCTGCATGGTAAAAATCTAATTAATTTTTTTTATCGTCGTTTTTTTTGTCAAAAAAAAAAATACAAAATGTCTAATATAATTAAGAAATTCGATGAATTCACAACGTTTCAGCAAAAAAAAAACACTATACATTCAGTTGTTTCTTCTTCGATTTGATTGCGGGTGAAATTTTTCTGCTTATATTGCCGCTTTTTCGTTTACCAATCAAATATTTATTTATTTTTGTTTTCTGCTCTTCACTCACTGCTTTATTCACTTCGTGTGTATGTTTGTTTTTTCTTCTTTTCTTGTCCAACACCAAAATCGATGCGAACGAACAATGTATGTGGCTGAACGCGAACAACGAGCGATGAGCACTACTTGCCGACTGAACGAACCAACCAACCGAGAGATACACACATCGATGAGACAGAGAGGAAAGTTTTTTTTTCAGCGAAAATTCATAGCAACCGCCGCGAATGCCGAATGCACCAAATGCCGTATACAGAAACAACAACAGCAACAGCAGTAGCGGCTATACCGTACAACTCAACAAATCACGAAGACAAATGTCATGTATGGCTGTCTCTGTTCAACACATGACGATTGTGGAGCTTGTTCGCACCGCTTCATTGTGTCATTGGTAATGAACTTTATATGTTCGGCAGCGAAACGCAGACCCTATTGAAAAAAAAACGACGACAAGCATTTGTTTTCGTGAATTCCATTTCAAATGAGTAATCACTATGATTCATGACAAATATCTTTGCATTAATCGCAAAATGTGTAATAAATGAATTAAATTAAAAATTACACTCGAAACAATGCATTGTAATGACGATGAATTAAAATGCAAAATGTGGTGTACGCAATGAATTTGTAAACATTCAAACGATAGCAAGGTTTCCGATAGGAATGCGTTTGGTGCTGTCAGTGAGTCATATATCCCCTTTTGTCATGTCGTTTTCGTTAGGCTGTCGAATTCAAAACATTGGAATTGTTTACATATTGAAATAGTGTTCGACATTGAATGGTACGCACATTGGATTCGTCGTAGAACCCATCAAAATTCACCTGTTTGTCGTGTGATTGCGGATTTTGTGGCAGCCACCGTTTGTTTTTCTCATAAATATGCAATAGAAAATACAGTGCAAAATAATATAATTGGCAAATCGACACACTGAAAATAGAAAGGTGTTTATTGCGTTTGTAGTTGTGGCTGGTAAAAGTGGGGATTTGTGTATATGTACGTCGCGTGCGCATGTGTGTGCGTTGTGTTTTGTACAACACAGATGTTTTGCCGTTTTACAGCACAGCATTGACCCGATCATATGTAGTTCTTCTTTTTTTTGCGTTGTATGTATTCGATTCAGTGAATTGAAGTGTTCGCATTCACACAACACCAATCCGTGTATTTCTTTTTGTCGTTGTTGTTTGGTTCAGTTGTTGTTACATGATATTATTTTTGTGCGATTTGTGATCGAAGTCGATCGCGACGACACTAAAATAAGTCGTTTATTTACACTCGATCGTGACTTATTATATTACTGCATTGAACAAAGAAAACTGACCATACCGAGTGCATTACTTTCGACTAATTGTGCGGTTATTTAATCGAAAGACGAAAACAATTTGTTTCGAAAATTTACTCAAACGATTTATTTAAATTGATGGTGCTTTGACCTACGGTAAGCGTTTTATATTGTGGTTTGGATGTGATTTCTTTGACAGTCCGCCGCTTATTGTGTAACTTTCGATTTCGGTAATCATTAGTAATCACGGCACGTTTTGTTGATACATCGATCGATTGACATAAATGCATACGATTAAAGTAACGAAGAGCTAAGAATGGGTATTCTCATATATTGATTGAAGATTTGCGGAGACGCCAGTTGACACACACAACTATTTAAATCGAAAATGAAAATAAAATCATTTATTGTTATCAAATTGAGATCGTTTAGTATTAACTTATAAGGGCGTACACCACGAAATCAAGTCGCCCATATTCGTAAAATACAAGTATCGCTGATAAATTCAAATGCACAACAATGCAGTGATTATGAGTCCAGTAGCAAAGTTCATTTATACACTGCACACTTAAATAGCACTACTGAATTTATCGTCATCATTTGAGGAAACACTAATCATCATTTTGTACTCTTTGATATGCATTTCAAGTACTTTTGAATCAAAATTGTGTTTTCACAGTTCTAAAATATGGAGGTTTTAGTTATCTAATAGTTTTTCATGTGATTCCAGCTCCATTGTTCTTTTAATTGTGCCATAGCTGAAATGTTTGTCTATTTTCTACATAATAAAAATGAAGTTTTCAAAATTGAATTCAATGCATATTGTTTAAAGTGACACGTAGTTGAACACACTAAGCCATTTTATTATTATCTTATACTTGTGCCAATAGAGAATGGAGCGGTCATTGGAAAACCTAGCCCAATGGATGACACTACTGCCCGAGCCAATCAAACATATTCCAATTATTAATTTAGCCATTCCAGGTAGAACAAATGAATTGAACATTTTTTTCTTTTATATTCTTTCATTTTCTTTCTTTACATCAAATCATTTGCTTTTGTTATTATTTTTAAATTTTATTTTTTTGTAATTGATGAATCATCAACATAACGTGTCTCTTTCTTTTCACCAAATTAGGAAGTCATGATTCAATGTCGTATGGCATCAGTCGAATGGCTAAAGTAGCGCCTGACGCAGAACCTGTCGTCAATCATCTGTACAAAGTTCTACCGTGCGTTGTTCGACGATGGGCTATCACTCAGAAGCTTAATGCGCTGGAGCAACTCAATAATGGCATTCGGTAATTTGTTGCTTTTTTATGTTCTATCAAAAAAGAAAAATTCGAATGAAATTTGATGAAGTATTCTAGTTTGAATCGATATTTGGCCCTATGGTTTTATATGACGATTCATTTTTTGTATGTTTTGAGAACTTGATTTCAATATGTGTTTAATTGCGTATCGAGCTTAATTAAAGTATATGGTATGTGTTTTGTTTAATTTTCAAACTAAAAACCATTGTATTGATGTTCTAGAAAAATGTGTATGCATTACGTCGTTTTGCATGTGCAGTAGCAATTACAAAAAAGTCGATAAGAATCTTTAGCCCGTCAAACACTTCAAGGTGATATCAGTTCAAACAATATCTAATTGGTCATGAATTTTGCACTATTTGCAATTCCAATTTTGTTGTTGAAAAATGTGAATTCTGAAATTGGACTGATATATTCTAGTAAATTAGTAGCTAATGTTCTATTTAATGTTTTTATTTCCAGATATTTAGACTTGCGGATATGCATGCAACCGAAAAATTTCAACTTCTATTTCGTTCATGGGTTGTACTGTGAAGAGATAACCGAACCATTGCGAGAGATTCGAAAATTCATGGACGAGCACCCAAATGAGTTTATTATCATTGATTGCCAACATTTTTATAATTTTTCCAATGGTGACTACGATCGCCTGAATAAAATCCTCTTCAAAATATTCCAAGATAAATTCTTTACGCAAACAACTGGCCCACTGACAAAGGTGACAATAGATTGGGCCAATTCACTGAAGAAGCAATTGCTGGTAGTGTATCGATACTCGCAAGTACCTAAGGAATTTTGGCCAGGCGATTGTTGGCCAACACCATGGCCAAATCAAATCAATGTAAAGAAGCTTGAAGCCGTTTTGGACACAAATATCAAGTATCGATCTGCAAATACTGGTTATGTGAGCCAATGTGTTCTTACGCCACCCGTTAAATTTATTGTACCAAGGTAAGTAAATGTCGTTTTATTCTCTAAAAAGAAATTGGTTCTTTGAATTGATGTTGACACAATCAACTGATTTATTTCGAAGCAAAAATGTTTTACGTAAATAACCCATGAATTCTTTTTTCCGCACAGATTTTATTCATCATTGAAGAAAAAATGCGCCGTAAAAGTGTGTAAAAAGTTGACCGATTGGATCAAAGTACAACGGCCAGGTCCATTTTCGTTGAACGCAAATCAACCGACCTCGAATGTATTCATCGCCGATTTTATCGAATTGAAAAACTTCCAATTTTGTCGCACCGTTATCGCTCTCAATGGCAAAATATTCAATGATTTAATTACGAAAAGTGATAGCCTACCCATGAGTTGTAACAAGGGCAGCGATGCAAAAGACCTGAATGACCAACAACACGATGATAAGAAGGATTACAACGAAAGCAATAACACAACAACTATTGAATCGTGATGTTTTTTTTTCTAATTGAACATTACAAGATACCCCCACATAGGGCCTAATGTTTTTTTTTTCTTTGATAGAACGATTTTTGTTCTCTAAGTTTTTTGTACAAAAATCATATCAATCGCACCAATTTTATACAGTTTTGTGATAAGTGTATCAGTTTATTGAAATTCCTTTTTTTGTCTAAGAATAAATTGATTGAAATTATACATCATTATCAATGTTATCGTTTTCATTTTGTGTTTGGACATCTTTCGGCAGAACAACCAATATTAATTGAGGCATTCGCGCATACTTATTTGACGAATTTTATACGTTCAATGCGTAATGACATACGGTGATCTGTTCACACCGCAAGAACTACGTCGATTTATCATCACGATTGCGGTAAAGTGTCTGACGCCATTCAATGTAGATGGAAAATTCAATGTAGAATACAATTCGGCAAAATCAGTATGTTTAACACGGAATTACAGGCAAATTCCACCGAAAGGCTTCACTTCATTCCATAATGATGAAGTTCGTACAATAAAACACATGTGATCGTGTATAATTTCATTTCTTTTAATTTCTCAAGAAAGCTAAACGATCAAAAATTGAATAAAATTACGAAATAAAGTTGGAAAATAAAAAAAAATAATATTTACATAATTTACTATGACTTGGAAAATGATTAGAACAGTAGTACGTAAAAGGATTTTTCATTCTTCTCAATTAAAAAGATCAGGTAGGTCATTGATTTCGAGGAACTCTTTAACCATGTCCGGATCGTCGCCCAAGTTGTAGCTGATGATGCATACGAGTTTCGATGGCTTTTTCGATTCGGCATTCGAAATCAATAGAATTTGCGTGATATCTTCAGTTGGTGGGCGAAACGGTTTGATGCCAGGCAATTCGTGGCCTGATGGTTTTTGTAAATGCAGTTTACAAGGCTGGAATAGAAGGTTTTTTTGTTAGTTTTTGTTGAGTGGAAAACGTATATGAAGCCATTCGTCGATAGCTATCGAAAAGGATATTTGCTTTATTACCTTTATTACGCTGGCCTCAAATTGAAAATTCTTAATTGGCAAACTATTTTGATTTGTCGTTGTGATGACCAAAACGGCCACATCGTTGCGAGGTTTATCTTTGGTAAAATTTAGCATAATTTTCAAGCCGCCCGATTTTTCGTCCAAGATACACCGTGGTGCATAGTCATCATGCGGTCGAATGTCGTTCAAATCGACAACGATATCGGCCAGCGGCTTGTTTAGATTGACACTTTGAATGGCGCTTTCATCAGATGAAGCTACTTGTTGCTGCGGTTGTTCGCTCGAATCGTTCGCCAAAACTGGCTTATCGCTTGGTGTTTTCGTTGGAGTCAATGCCAGTGGCTCAACGTCGTTATCTTGACCCAGGAGCAATTTATCATCATCCAAATTAGTGTCTGCATCTTTCTTCAAGTTTGATTTCAGTCCACTTATTAGCTGCGTGAGTTCAGAATCGAAATTTTGGAATTTTAGCTGCGTTGCATTCACTTTCTCTGGTTGAATTGAGGATGCTGCCGTTGTTGGAGTTGATACTGTAGGAAGAGTGACTCTCGTTAATGGAATCGTTGCTGCCGTTGAATAACTGTAAATAAGAAGAAACGTTCCAAGTGAAAATGTTCTAAAAACAATCCCTTTTTCCATGAAATCATCATCCTTGCTCTTTGGATCTACTGTACCTTCCATTGTTCAGAATATTTCCGTATGTATTCGACAGAGGTACCGGTTTCACCGAATTAGTACTTGACGAAGAAATCGGCGATGTGATGAATGAGTCTAAGGAACTAGTTGCATTATTCAAATCTTTAATGGCCTGCCATGATTTGTCCGATGAGGCTTTTTCTGTTAAAACAGATGAATAAGACATTGATTAGAGTGGTGTTCAATTTGAGATATTATTCGGAAGACATTGACTTCAGAAATTTAAAAAAATAACTCGAAATTACCATTCGTATTCATTTTGGCCGTAGCAAGTGTTGGTTCTAACGGAGTAAGCGTTGCCATAATGGGCTTACCATTGGAATGAGTGGCATTAGGATTGCTGGTGCTAGCGAAAATTTCATGCAATTCGTCCATGGTGTTTTTGTTGGAATTGGTGCCATTTTGACTACCATTAGCTACCGAGTCATTGCCCGCATTTTGCGTTGAGATCAAACAGGCGTTTGCATATTTTGGCCTGTTACTTATGATGAGTTGATGATATTTTCGAAATACTTCCGTCACCAAATCATTAGCTTCTAAGGCATCATCTGAAAAGACCATGAAAACCATACATGAAAATCATTGTATTTTGAACACTTAATATACAAAGTTACAACAATTTTCTCCTACTGAATAGGTCGAACTACTCTGAATAGTCTATTCAAAAAAGGAGATCAAAATCTTGATGGAATGACCCAAAGTAAGTCAACTAACGTAAGATGTACCTAAACATTCATTATCTTCCGTGTCGCCGATAAGAATCAAAATCGTTGGTTGAAGCTTTTGACAAGATTCGTACAAAAATTTCAAAGTAGCCAGAGCATCTTCTGTAATTTCGTCGGCATCGTCTTTATTTTGGTCTTCTTCCAATTGATCCAACATTTGCTTCAGAACTGTGGCATTTTCGGTGATTTCTTTCAACTCCAGCTTGCGGCGCATGTTCACTTCGTGACGTCGCTCTTTCTGTAATTTCAATAATTGGAAATTGGATTTGTTAAAAATGCTATTCATTCGAAGCAAATGCTTCATTGTCATATTAACGGCGAAGTAAATTGATGAAGAACCATCGCCAACTAATGGGAATTCAATCATTTACACACCTCTTTCACCATATTTTGAATAAGTAAATTGGCGGCTTTGTAATCGGCTGGATTACTGGATCGCAATAAGCGTTGCAGTTTGGCCGATAAATCGGGTTCGGCTTTTTCACGTAGTTTAACATCAGGTAGTGCTTCGGGTTTGTTGTTATTTTGCACAACCTGTGGTTTCGCAGTCTCATGCCGTACGCCTCGCTTCAACAGCATATCATACGCTTCTTTTATTTTCTTTTCATGTGGAAAATTTATCGTCCATAACAGCATTAGATCTAAGATTTTATCACGAATTTTCTTGGGCGTTCTCTCGCCATCATAATGCGGTGACACCAATCGAATGAGCTCATTTAAAAATCGAAACTTTCCAACTTCATTATGGAATTTTGGGCCACACTTTGACATGCATTCTTCCAACACCTGGAAGAAAAAAACGAGCAACACGTTTACTATTTGTACAAATGAATTGTATATTTTGTGAGCAATCGAGTCAACAACTTTTTGTGTGTATATATTATGTGATGAACAATTGAGTTAAAAATATCCGAGCGTGTAAACATTTTTCACTTACATTGAGTGCAAGTAACACTTCGTCTGCGTTGGTTGATTTGAATTTTTCAGCAATAATTTTTGTCGCATCAAGCGTGATAAATGCTTCGTATTGCTGTACCATGGTTGCAAATAAATCGATGGCTAACAGATCGACATCGTCCGTTGATGTGGTCGTGGCGCGAACTGAAAGCACAAAATCACACACATTTTATTTACAATTACACGATTGAATCATCAAGCAATACATCTAGCACGTAAAAGGCAAACAGTTAAAATGTCGTATTAACAAATTGCAAAGCATGGCATAATTTAAGGAATTTCGATTTTTGAGTATTGACAACTGCCATTTGATCTGGGGCGATTAAAGGTTCAAATATCCGAATACATGATGAAGCTTGGAATATCTAGTCTTAGTTTTAGTATATCAGACCGATGGATTTAATTGCCAAGTATTGGAAATTGCAATGGGTTTATGGGCAGTCAGGATTACAACAACAACAACCTACTGCCCATAAACCCATTGCAATTTCCAATACTTGGCAATTAAATCCATCGGTCTGATATACTAAAACTAAGACTAGATATTCCAAGCTTCATCATGTATTCGGATATTTGAACCTTTAATCGCCCCAGATCAAATGGCAGTTGTCAATACTCAAAAATCGAAATTCCTTAAATTATGCCATGTTGCAAAGATTATTACTGCAAACGGCATTACGATTCGTATTCGATAGTATTGCTAAGTGTTGTAGCTAATTTTAGTACAGAAAATGACAAACGACGAAATAAAGAAGAATGAAAAACATGCGAATGGAAATGAATGAACGCGAAAAGAGTAAATAAAACGGAAGAAAAATAAACACAAAAGAAAAACGCAAGAGAATCCAATCGGATTGACTTCAATTCCAAAAGTCTGCCATATAACTTAAATATTTTTGAATATTTTCAAACTTTTCTTATTTCCAAAGACTAAAAATATGGAATTATTACATAAAACGCCTAGAAATTTCCAACGAAAGAAAAACTATGCACTCACTGTACTGTTTAAGCAATTCTTGACGGATCGCATCACCATTAAATTGCTGCCGCTGTATATCCATGACGGCGACAACGATGTTTCAACTATAGCGCAAACGAGCAATTATTTATTGTGGTTGCTGCAACTACTGTGCGTAATTATATCGAGGTGAACTTGTTCTTGTACCACGGAAAAAAAATAAGAAGAAGAACTTGTTCAAGTCTACGAATATTTCAATTTAATTTAAACTCGAAATTGAACGCCTATTTTTTTCCCGACACAACACTTGACTTGAACGATAAAAACGATGTTGCGGATGATTCGGTGTAACTATAATATTTATTAGAGACAGAGATCAACACCGAAATATCGCGTTCTGATAAGAAACCTGTTCGATATGATATGCGAACTATAAATTTTCTGATTTGTTTTACTCTCAATTGTTTGTTCTCTTCTCGCACACACGCACAGTAATGAGTGAGTGAGTGACATTTGTACATTTCCCCAGTCTTTGTTCGTTGACATTTGTTGACAATCGCCGCAACTTCACGTATGTTATTGGTAAATGGAAATCACGCGCAACTTCGTGACATCCTGGTGACATGCAGTGAAATGAAATAAAACCACGATTTGGTTTGTTATTGCTTTAGAATGCTTTTAGTTATTTTTTACTCTTTTCAAAAATTGCTTGAATTTTATATCGCTCATATTGAGTAGTTGCGGTGAGATGCCGTGGGATTTATTTAAGGTTGTCAATTCGGCCACTCGTATTTTTACATGCGCCACCGAATGACTCAACAGGCCAATGTTTGCGGTAATGTCATCCGGTGAAAATATTCGTAACAGTTCGTCCAGCAATTGCGATGTCTGAAATGATTAAATAACCAAGAATTAACCAGATTGAATAATATTGAATTGTTTGAGCTAAATTGAAAATGCAGCACTTCTGAAGTATCTTGAATCTGGACACTTTGAATTGACTTTATTTTGTCAATTATTAAATATATTTGTGGAAAACCAACTAATGGCGTCAATTAAATACCGTGTCATAATCAAGCTTCTGTAAAAATTTGTTCTTCATGAACATGGAATTGGCCGTTTGACCGTGCCAATTCAGTCGACCGGTCAACAGCTCAAGCGTTTTGTTTTGTTCCGTTCCACGTTGATTTCGAATCTCAATTGACCTTCATAAGAAAATGAAATTAATTTTCAATTGAAACAAATTATTGAAAACTAGCCTATAGATTGGAAAGTTTCGCAGCAATTTGGGAAATGAAATTTGTAACCTGCATAGAACTTGGTCATCACACTTGATCATCCATGGCATAACTCGTTCAATACCGCATTTTTTAATGAATTCCAATCTTCCTTCTATCACTTCTTTGGCTCGAAACAACACATTCATGTCGCGAAGAATGTGATCCGGTTTAACACCACAGCTCATCAACATTTCGATTTTTTGCTTCAGCAATTCCAATTCCATCTCGAAAACGAACAAATGTTTGGCGCAATAGTGGCTGATGGTGTGTGGTTCAATCTGCAAAAGCACGTTACTAATTGTTCAACTAATTTAGAAGGCAATTTCTTATCAACTATGTAAAGTTCTTATGTTTTCGGCGATTGTGAGTTGAATTGATTGAAGTAAATGAATTCACCTACCAAAAAGATCTCATTCAAAAGATAGATGCGATTTCGAATCACATGCCCCTGATGCAATTGGATATTCTTGATTTTTGTCTCTTCTACAGCCAGCAATGGTAGAAGATCATCGATTTCTTTCCATTTGCTCCGGCTGAGTCGTTCGAACCTTTTCCTCACGTGGTCTATGGTAAAAAGAGGAAGAAAAAATGTTGTGAAAAGGGAGAAAAAAATTAAGAGAAAAGTTTTAATTCTGAAAACTGTATATTCACCAATGGGCAATAGTAAAAGATGACAATTCTTCATAATAAACGGCAAAGTGGCACCATTACGATGTAACCATCTCATCGTTTTGTTCATTAAACGCAGATCAATGCTATTTTCACCTTCTGTACTCAGGTCTGATAGAAAATCCAACACTTCAGCTGCTTCGGCATGAGTACATTGGAACATTTTACGGATGGCTACCGCTTTTGGTCTGACAAGTTGATCATCTGAATCATTATTTGCATTATTCAGTCTTTCACCTTCATTACCACTAGAAAAATGTAGACTTTGTATCCTTCGGATTATCGGCGAAGCGGTCAAAGTGTTTGTAAAACTACGAATACGATTTGAATGGTAGCATTTTGCTATTATATGTTTCGGCAACACTGAAAATGTCCTATGATTTTGTACAACAAATGAATTGATACACATTCTACGCAACATTTTTGTTGCTTCTACGAACAATTTATGGAAATGGAAACAATTTTAATGTGTAATCTTTTAATTTTACACAATTCCAAACGTTAACAACAAAACAACTTGAAAGTAAATAGTGCGACTCAGTTGAGGTTATGTAATTTGACAGAACGAGAGCAAGTCGTCGTGATTGCGTGACAATGTTTGCTATTATCCCTCTTCTTCGAATGGTTTAATATTTAAAAAGCCGTTAGTGGAAAATGTTCCAATTCATATATGAATGTGAATTCGTTGAATCCAAAACGATGATGAGGAAAAAAATGTAATGACTCTAAAGAGACTGCTATTTGGATCCGTTGTTTTTTTTTCTTTAAACGGAATTCAGTTCGGTCTTTTCCTCTGACACCGACACTGCGACCATTAATCACATCAACAACGTAGATGTGAGATTTCCCCAGTGCATTTTGCATGGATGGCAAATGGCAGGAGCGCATTGCTTTACATGTGGATGGATGGAATGTTGGCGTTACATTTATAGCATGACTATATATATACATGTGGTGCAAATATACACGTTGTGTGAGGTTTGGGCGTGCAAATAGAGTGTGGAAAATCTATTTGTTGTTGATTAGAAGCAACAACAGCAGCAGCAGCAACAGTAGCAGCAGCACAAATGACCAAGCAAAACGTTGCTAAACCGAATGAATCATTGACAGTTCAGTTCAGTTCACTGGTAGTCTCCTTTGCGCGAAAACCTCGTCTACATCTTAAGTAGAGGAATCTTAATCCTTCGTTTTCAGTTTTTCATGTCTGTTGTTTTGAGTTTTTTGTTGTTTCATGTTTTTTGTGTCCTAATCGGTTTTTGTGTGGCTTTTTCTTTCATGTCGTGGCCCAGTCGTTTTTCGATGTTGTAATTGTAACATGTGTGCTTTTGAATTCTGAATCCATGATCAAAGAAACGATTCCGTTCCCGTTTTGAATCGTTCACGGTTTCTGTTTTCAAGACTTTTTCTTTCCATTTCGTTGGTCATTTTTCTTTCGTTCGACATTCTAAGTGTGTGTAGAGCATAACGAATAGAAAAAGTGATTGAGTTTGTTTTAGTAGCATGTAGCTGTTTTCCTTGAGAGCATTTAAAACGACGACGAGGACAAAAATTTGAAACTGTTGCAAAACGTGTGTGTTCCTCGAACTCATTCAACGACATCGGGAGAAACAGAGACATGTTCTTTTCTGGAACTGTGTTCTACGGTGCAAACGCTCTTACGAAACAGACAACCGACCAAAAATGGTGGCAAAGACCATCCTACCGTGTATTTTGTGTCACATTTTGTTATTATTAAATTTATTGAGTTCAATGCATTTTGTATGATCTTCTGTTTCGATTTTTTACGGTTCACTTTTTGTACGTTCCTTTGGAGTGAGGGTGACGCATTTCATTTGATTTCAAACACTTAGTGTCAACTTGATAAATGTTTTGTGATTGATGACAAAAGAATTTCAACACAACTGAACGCTGAAACATTGAAATCACAGCGACGACAACGACAGCGATTGGAGGGTGAAAAATGTTGAATGCGATTTTATTGTTTACATAAGCGCGCTGGTGCTACTATGGATGAGAATGTCGGTCGGTGGTGCTATTTCCAGTTATTCTTTCAATGTGTTGTTTTTGACACAAGGTGAGTACGGCCCAATCATTTCACTTTCATTTTCCACATATATACATATGCTTACATTTCGGTTGCACGATGGAGTCTTTGTTGCCATTTTTTGTTCTCCTTTTTTTCTCTTGCAATTTTATTTTCTGCACGGAAAATAAATCGATGATGGTGTATTGCACGTGTCGAATGCCAATAATAATCATATGGCCTGACTCTGTGTTGTCGAAATTCAAAGTTCATTGATTGCATCACGCTTTCTCCCTTTACGTTTTAAGAATGCAAGTCATCACCGCGGAAAATTGTTACCTAAACCCATACTCTTTTACGATAAGAATTTGATAGGGGAAGAGAAAAAAGCACGACGGTGTTGAATTTGAAGGAGAGAGAGAGAGAGAGAGAGAGAGAGAGAGAGAGATAGGAAAAGAAAAAATGAGGAAAAACAGACGAAAATGAGGAGAAAAAGACAAAAAAGAGAAGAAAAACTTTTGGATTTGTCAAAGACATGCTAGAAAAATGAATAGAAAAAATGCACGGAATTTGCAATATTTATTCAAATAACATTTATTGTTCGTTTCAATTGGAGTTTCTTTGTATCGACTTGAATTGCGACATATTTTCGCAACGAATTTTGCTTGAAGCTCACGAGAAACCGTGTATTTTTCCAGAACATTTTCTACAAAAGTTTTTCTTTCATTACTTTTTGCGAGCAGTTCTTTTTTGCTTTGATTGAAAAGAATGTGGAAAATGTACTATAAACTATATACATTGTACATTTTAAGTGTGTTTCTTTTAAAGCCTGTAGGGAAAAACGCAAACAAGGATATTTCTTGAAAGCTCATTAGCTAAAAGAATTTAGTAGGAGAATAGAAGGAAGGAAGGATTCATTTCGAAATCGATAAAAAAAGCTATTTTTTTCTCGCCCAACACATTACAGAAAAAAACGTGTTAAAATTAAATGTAACAGTTGTTAGTCCATAGCTTGTGGCTAATGGCACTCATTAAAAACGACCCAATTTCGTATGTGTGTGTCTGGTGTCCGTGCTGCGAAAGTTTTTCAAAGACGGAAAAGTAACAACGCAAAATGAACAATAGCCAGAGCAATGTTGCGACATTCCGTTTGCACCAATGTCATATACAAAATTGCCTTTGAAAAAGAAGCACTATAACTACCAAGTGCTTGTGTACGATGTGCGCCATTGTTTATCCACAAGTTGTCGTACTGGGTTTCCTTTTTGTGAGCGCGCCGTGAAGAAGATTGTCGCATATTGCAACGCCAATGACAATTTTTACCATCAAAATCGAATCCAAATCCATGCTGATAATACCCGCAATCAGATGACACAATGGATCACGCTGTGTCATACCCCTTCTATTCTCAATCTATTTATATACAGATTGGATTTGCGTGTACTGCTGCCACACTATTTATATTTTTCACCACATTGCTTTGTTCAATTGTTCCGCTCATTCCATGCCGCTGTTTGTTCGGAATCGCCAATGGGATAGTAATTTCCTGAGAAATTGATTTTTCTTTGTTTGCTGTGTTTGCTGATGACATTGAAAAATCTACACGGCAATTTCATTACATGTACAAATGGGCAATTTGCTACTTTTGTACTATGATTGTGAAAAGTTAATAATAACAATGACGACGACGACGACGACGACGATGGCCACGATTCATAATCGCAAATATAATTTATGGCAGCAATTTGCCAAAACAAATCGAATATCGATTTTTTTTCGCTTCTTTTTCGGTCAGATTCCATTTAGTTTGCCATTGTTTGCTGGAGTAAATTCACACCTTGCCACCAACACCTCCATACAGCTCCGTTCAATCGCATTTCACACACATTCAATCCACTTAGGTGGCGATTCAATGATTTTCGATTTCGCTGATTTGCGAGTCTAATTGAATTAGTTTTGATCGATTGATTGCTGCTTACACAAACGTTCTTTGGTGCCTTTTTCACGTAAAAAGCCCAAATTCCACAATGCGTAGGTACATATTTCATTCGATGGTTTCATTTGATCTGATAATTTGCACTTGACGTGATATTTATAGTCGCAGTATGGAGCTCTATGTCGATTACGTCGACTGTAATTGCTTAATTGCTTAGCGACACCGGTGCGACGGAAGCTACTCAGAAGGCACGAAACGAGTAAATTAGCAAATATTCGTGCTTTGAACGAAATTCGCTTATTCACTACTGTTTTTACGCCACATTTATGTGGAAAATAAATTTGAGAAATGGCGACGCATAGTATTTTAGTTTTATATTAACAAGAGAACATGTACCAAATGTATGTTCCGAATGAGTCTATTTATTTCCAAAATGTACATTATTTTACACGAAAAATCGGGAATTAAATTTTGGATCAAAGCTTTTAAAACGTTCGAAAATTTCATTGATTATATTGATTTGCCAACTGATTATGATAAAAATCAAAGAGGTGACCTTTGTTGGGTCATTGGATGGTGCAATAAATTACAATTCACATGAGTATTATACCATAAAGGAAACAAAGAAAGACCACTTGTTGTTGCTTTTGTTATTTATGGGAGAAATTTATCCATATATTATCATTATCGACGTCGATTCCGCCGAGGAAAATTTACTTCATAAAATTGTATTGTCAATTTTTGATCATTCAATTTAAGATAAAATGTACGGCACAGCATTGGCGCTACGAATGATTTGTGCCGGCTGCAGCAAAGGCAAAAGCCGAACAAATATTTGTGAGGGAGATTTGACCCATTAATGTGTAAAAACAAACTGTTTGGCATCGCATCATTTACTCAGAAAAATGGAACACGGTGTGGAAAAGGTCCATTGGTGTTTGGGCGTAATAAATCCATTTGTAAATGGATCGAACAGATAAACTGGAATAAAACCATAACTTTCCATTTGGTTACTCTTCGTGTCAGACGATTCTTGAATAATGGCTCTACAATGTTATTCGGAGCGTTTATTTGTGTCTATCTTTTGCCACAAGTTTCAGTGGTGTAGTGGTTATCACTTCCGCTTTACACGCGGACGGCCGCAGGTTCGATCCCTGCCTGAAACAATTATTTTTTTTTTCGTCCCCACATGAAATATAGACAACCAATAACTTTTTTATTGTTGGCTTTCTTACTTTTAGCAAATTTATATAAAAATTCAACGAAAGCATACTCGCCTATTTCAAAAATACAAATTGAAGAAAAAACATACTCTACTTTTCATATGATTGCCATTAACTTTATCAAAGTTATGCATTTCAACGGTTACGGTTTCCGTAATAGAAATTAAAAGTGTGGCCAAGCATTTAAAATCGATCGGATTTTGTACAGAATTCAGAATGTGAGAAATTACGATTATTATTCGATCGCTTAACACAATTAATGCTTTTTAAATTGAAACATTGCACCAAAATTGTTTAGTTACAAAAATCAGTTGGTTTATTCAATCGAGTATAAAGTTTGAAATTGCCATTGCATTTCAAATTGAATTTTCTACCAAAATGTTTTTGTTTCTCTGTTTTTTCATGAACGCACTTCTGTGTTCATTGGTGACGGGCTCAGGTAAAATTGAATCATTGAACAAAAATCACCAATTTAATGCATACCACAATCTTTCTCACTCTTTTACTCATTTCTAGAGAAGGCATTTTTTAATTCATCTCCACGAATTGTCGGTGGCAAAGTAGCCAACATAACGAATCATCCATATGTAGCCTATCTAAAATTATTTCATAATTATTTCCTACCTCGCGATTATTCGGAATGTGTTGCTGTGATCCTATCCAAGGACTGGCTTCTGACTGCCGCGCACTGTTTTGAGTATTGAAAAAAATTATGAATTTGCTAAAATTTAAATCCATATTAAAAATTGGTGTTGAGCGGGCATACACGTATATTTAAAAATCAAACAGTACTTGAATGAAGCTACAATTTTCCCATTATAGCGATCCATATGTTCGAGCATATATTCATGCTGGTTCGAGTGAGAAATTGGGTAAAGATGGGTTGTATACATTTATTAAACCGCCCGTAATACATCCATATTATGATAAAAACAGTAGCGATTATGACTTTGCACTCGTGATGACCAATGTAAAAATAGATTTTTCCGGTACAATTGATTACCTTGATTTGCCCACCGATGAGGATGAAATCAGAAATGGGGATCTTTGTTGGACGGCTGGATGGGGTAGTAAATTGCATTTTGATGAGTAACAAATAAAAGAACCAAAGCCCAACTACTTGTTCTCGCCATTTGTAGGAGATCTCACTCGATACAAATCAGTCGACGACGCTCCTGACGAAGCAGATTTGCTGCATGAAGTGATGTTGCCCATTTTTAGTCATTCAATTTGCAATGAACTTATCTACGGCAATACATTGACGAAACGAATGATTTGTGCCGGCTACGCGAATGCTACGTCCTTTAAAAGCCCATGCTCGGGTGATTCTGGTGCTCCATTAGTTTGTGAAAGATTGCTGTTTGGTATCTTATCATTTAGAAAGGATTATGAACCATGTGGCAAAAATCCAGCGGTTTTTGGACGTGTAAAATCCATTCGAAAATGGATCGAAAACGAGACGGGGATAGAACCAAAAAAATGATTCAATTTTGATGCTGTTCCATTGTTAGACCATTATTGCAAAATTACTCTGAATGAATATCATTATTTTGTCACAAATTCACAACGGAGATGTAAGAAAGTTGAAAGAACAATCACACGTGTATAAGCTAAGTGGAATCGCTTTTTAATACAAACAAATATTCCTTACGTAAAAAGTGCAAATATACACAAAGAAATACAAAAATGCTACAAATTGTCAAGAAACCGTTCTTCATATCAGTATGGCCCACATAAACTTCACATTAAATTTATGTTCATATTTGGTTTCAGTTAGAATTCCACACCAAAAACTCCATACAAAACGAGCAAATTTGTGTTGTGACTGAAAATACGATATTTGATATGTTTCCATTCAAAATTGTGATAAATTACATAGATGATGTTCTGGTTTTTCCGATGTGACTTAGTCTTAGATTACTTTGTGGCTCACACCAATAAAAGACAGCAAAATGTTTGTTTTATTGATAATTATCATGAAAACTGGTAATACATCAATTTAAATGACCATATTACAACGGTAAAACCAAAACAATACATCAAATACATATATTGCGTACTGATATGGTGAACCGCGAAACAATGCCATTTAAATTGAAACACTGTGCAGGAATAAATTAGTTCGAGCTGATTGTCATTGTGTAAAGGCATTGAATTGGAATCGTCACTGCATTCACAACTTGAAATCGAATTTCGAATAATACAAATGTGTCGTTTTTCGTGTTTATTTATGAACGCACTTCTGTGTTCATCGGTGATGGGCTCAGGTAAAATTGAAGCTTTGAACAAAAGTAACAAATTCATTGTATACCATACTTGATCTCTCACTAACTCATCTCTAGCAAAGCCATTTTCTAATTTATCTCCACGAATTGTCGGTGGCAATGTGGCCAACATAACGAACCATCCATATGCTGCCCATATAGTAGTAACTTATAGCGGTAATAACGGGGTTGAGTTTCAATCTAATTGTGCTGCTGCCATCATTGGACGTGATTGGATTCTAAGTGCTGCGCGCTGTTTTGAGTATTGAAATGATATTTTTGTTTTCATTGAAATTCGAATCAATCGTCAGAGTATAAAGATACAAATTTTCCATTAAAGTCATGCAGTCATAAAGAAATCAGTATTTCACGGTGGTTCGACCGAGAAAGGAGGCGACAATGGGAAGTATTCATACTTAAAACCGGCCATAATACATCCAAAATACAATGTAAACTCTAGCGATTACGACTTTGCACTGGCGCAGCTCTGGATAAAACTGGATTGGTCCGGTACAATTGATTACCTTGATTTGCCCACCGATGAGGATGAGATCAGAAATGGGGATCTTTGTTGGACGGCTGGATGGGGTAAATGAATCACATTTTGATGATGTGCTATAGATTAGAAGAACCAAAGTAAGACTACTTGTCATTTGTAGGAGAACTCTGGGGATACAAATCTGGCCGCGACGAAGATGATTTGCTTCATGAAGTGATGCTACCCATTTATGATCATTCAATTTGCGAAAAAATCTATGACAGAAAATTGACACAACGAATGCTTTGTGCCGGCTACGTGAATGGTACGTCCAACAAGGGCATATGCGACGACGATTGGGGTGCTCCACTAGTTTGTGATCGAAAACTGTTTGGCATCTCATCATTTATAAAGGAGAACGAACCATGTGGCAAAAGTCCAGCGGTTTTTGGGCGTGTAAAATCCATTCGAAAATGGATTGAAAACGAGACTGGAATAATACCAAAAAATAAATTTCAATTTTGATGCTATTCTTGTCAGAAGATTGTTGAAATATTGCTGCGAATTAAAGCGTCATGATGTAATTTTAAACATTTGTTATTATTTGAACTAAAATCTTTTGCATACTGCTTGAGATGTGGGCCATGAAACGCATCCGGATCTGTGACGAAACCACATAAGTGTAAGGTTTTTTATACAGCCAAAACGGTTTGTTTTGAAAAAAAAAACTTTACAAAAATAAAATCTACATGAGAAATAAAGTTAATTTTCTTTGTATTGACAAGGGCTTCTTCATAAAAGTTCAACGTGATTTCGCTATAATTCTTTTTCGCAACTTTCCCGTATATGATGCTATTAAAAGTGATTTTAACACGGTAATCAGGCAACAGTTTTTCACACACACATACAAACACGTTCACATGCAAATCTCAACTCATCGATTTAATTTGCGGATTCATTTAAATTGTACCTAAGCATTCGTGGAATATAAAACGAAGGTGTGAATATACACGTACGATGTCCGCTCTGCAACAGCGACGGACAGTGTGTAGCAAAATACATCTACATACATATATCTATCTGTGTGCAGTGTGCACTAAACGCCAACGTATCTAGATCCGATGCGCCAAATCTGATCGCCCGATTTACGTGACCGTTATAGATGCGACGATCACTCAGTGTGCCATTTCCAGCAAAAGCAAAAATATAAATACCTTTCGCTCTAGTCGAACCATCTTGACCAGCTTTGCCCCGAATTTTTTTGAAAATTGTCCCGATTTCGGACTTTCTAGGTAAAGGCTTATGATAGAATATGTCCAAATTGTTTACCATGCTCATCGCTATCGAAAACAAAGCTATCTGCGTTATGAATATTATGCCGCTAAGAAAGAAAATTCTCAAAAGTGAATC